TCGGAAGAGACCAAAAAAACGAGACAGACACTTTGTGCGAGCCTGCACAGTCGAAAGGCACATCGGGATCTCACACAAGAACTTTTGTGCAAGCCGGCGCACACAAAACGAGCGCCCCACAACGGGAACCCTGAACGAACCAAGGCTTTACTTCTACCGTAAGAAACCCTCAGTGTGGACACATTGCTTGGGGAATTTAATGCTCTCTAATGGAATTTGATGGACTCAATGGATTCATGGGGTTTCGCAATATCTCTGGATGGATAAGTTACCAGTAGTACCCGCACGAGGCGGGGCGGAAGTTGCCTTAGGGTTACATGCGCCGTGCGCCAGCCAGGCCCGTGCGTGCGCGCTTTGTGCGAACCTGTTGCACTGTTGTTGTCCAAGAACATGCCCTGCGCGCGACCCCGGTGCAACGCAACGCCAAGCGAACACTTTCTTCACACATGGCACTGCACTCTTCACACCCCGCACTTCACACTTCACACTTGCACTTCACATTCCACACTTCATCTCATCTCAAATCATGTGAGCTCTTCTCACCTCATCTCACCTCATCCTATCTCTTCTCACATGTCATCTAAGTAAGTTCTTCTCAACTGCTTTCATCTCATCCCAGCACTGATCAACCTTTCTCATCTCCTCGAAGTTCTTCTCAACTCATCTCAGCTGTTCTGCACGCCAGAAAGCTCTTACTGTCAGAGAGAAGTCTCTTGCACAAAAACAAAACAGTGGGCGCAGAAAGCTTTTGCACACAGAAGCTTGAGACACAGATCATTTACACAGGAAAACCTCTACAGCATACTTTGTACGACAACGCTTGTACAAGCACTTCCCAGTACTACTTTGTACTACAAAGCTTGCACAGAATATTTCCCAGCACTACTTTGTACTACAAAGCTTGCACAGAATATTTCCCAGTACTACTTTGTACTACAAAGCTTGCACAGAATATTTCCCAGCACTACTTTGTACTACAAAGCTTGCACAAAGTACTTCCCAGTAGTACTTTGTACTACAAAGTTTGCACAAAGCACGTCCCAGTACTTCTTTGTACTACAAAGCTTGCACAGAATATTTCCCAGTACTTCTTTGTACTACAAAGCTTGCACGGAATATTTCCCAGTACTACTGTGTACTACAAAGCTTGCACAAACATGTTCCAGTACTACTGTATACTACAAAGCTTGCACAAAGTACTTCCCAGTACTACTTTGTACTACAAAGTTTGCACAAAGCACGTCCCAGTACTTCTTTCTACTACAAAGCTTGCACAAAGCACGTCCCACTACTACTTTGTACTACAAAGCTTGCACAAAGCACTTCCCAGTACTACTATATATGTACTACACAGCTTGCACAGAGCACTTCCCTGTACTACTTTGTACTACGAAGTTTGCACAAAACACGTCCCACTACTTTCTATTACAAAGCTTGCACAAAGCACTTCCCACTTCTACTTTGTACTACACAGCTTGCACAGAGCACTTTGCTGTACCACTTTTGTACTACAAAGCTTGCACAAAGTACTTCCCAGTACTTTGTACTACAAAGCTTGCACAAAGCACAAAGCACAAAGCTTGCACAAAGCACGTCCCAGTACTACTTTGTACCACAAAGCTTGCACAGAGCACTTCCCCGTAGCACTTTGTACTACAAAGCTTGCACAAAGCACGTCCCAGTACTTTGTACTGCAAATCTTGCGCAAAGCCGCAGCACCAAGCAACCTCTGTGCCAAAGCAAAAAAAAAACACGATTTTGAAGCACTTTTTAAAAGGAATTTGAAAAGGAAAATCACCAGCGCCAAAATTGAGAAAATCTGCTGACAAATCACTATCGCAGCCTTGATGCTGCCACTCCAATACGATTTACAATGTCCAGCTGCAAAAGACAATAGTATTACGTATCACACATGCAGCCGCAGCAGCAAGCAACCTTGACGCAGGCAAACCTGCATGTCTCGACACACATGGCAACCGAACATGGCAACAATCATGCAGCCATTACACTGCGATCTGCCACCAAGGATTCAACAAGCGTATAGAAGTACGCACACGTGAACAACCACTGGTTGCAGAACACAGAGGAGGAACCGGTTACGCCCGAAACGATCGCAGCCGCAACCACCACACACACGAGGTACCTTTCATCGCCGGCTGCAGCCACTTTACACGTAAAAACACAAGGTTTCGTGCTCCGGCTTTCTCCCCAACACAAACCCCATGCAACAGTCATGCAGCCATTACAATGCGTTTTGCGGCATCACGTGGCAAACCTGCATGTCTCGGCACATGTGGCCACAAAACGTGACAACAACCATGCAGCCATTGCACTGCGATCTGCAACCAGAGATTCAACAAGCGCATAGGACTACGCACTACGCACACATGAGCAACCACACGTTGCAGAACACCAAGGGAGAACCGATTACGCCCGAAACGCCGCCTGGAGTCACTTTACACAGAAAAACACAAGGTTTCGTGCTCCGGCTTCCTCCCCAAAACAAACCCCATGCAGCAGGCATGCAGCCATTAGAATGCGTCTTGCAGCATCACGCGTCTAACCCACATGTCTCGACATACATGGCAACAGAACATGGCAACAATCATGCAGCCAGCACACTGCGATCTGCAACCAGAGATTCAACAAGCGCATAGAACTACGCACACATGAACAACCACTGGTTGCGGGACACAGAGGAGGAAACGATTCTGCCCGAAACGATCGCAGCCGCAACCGCCGCACACACAAGGTACCTTTCACCGCCGGCTGCAACCACTTTACATGGAAAAAAACACCAGGTTTCGTGCTCCGGCTTTCTCCCCAACACAAACCCCATGCAACAGTCATGCGGCCATTACACTGCGTTTTGCAGCATCACATGGCAAACCTGCATGTCTCGACACACATGGCAACCAAACATGGCAACAATCATTACGCACACATGAACAACCACTGGTTGCAGGACACAGAGGAGGAACCGGTTACGCCCGAAACGATCGCAGCCGCAACCGCCACACACACGAGGTACCTTTCATCGCCGGCTGCAGCCACTTTACACGGAAAAACACAAGGTTTCGTACTCCGGCTTTCTCCCCAACACAGGCCCCATGCAACAGTCATGCCGCCATTACATTGCGTTTTGCAACATCACGTGTCTAACCCGCATGTCTCGGCACACGTGGCCACAAAACGTGACAACAATCATGCGGCCATTACACTGCGAGCTGCGACCAGAGATTCTCCAAGCGCAGAAGTATGCACACATGAACAACCACCCGCTGCAGAAGACAGAGGAGGAACCGATTACGCCCGAAACCATCGCAGTCGCAACCGCCGCACACACAAGGTACCTTTCATCGCCGGCTGCAACCACTTTACGCGGAGAAAACACCAGGTTTTGTGCTCCGGCTTTCTCCCCAACACAAACCCTATGCAACAGTCATGCGGCCATTACACTGCGTTTTGCAGCATCACATGGCAAACCTGCATGTCTCGACACACGTGGCCACAAAACGTGACAACTACCATGCAGCCATTACACTGCGATCTGCAACCAGAGATTCAACAAGCGCATAGGACTACGCACTACGCACACATGAGCAACCACACGTTGCAGAACAGCAAGGGAGAACCGATTACGCCCGAAACGATCGCAGCCGCAACCGCCGCACAAACAAAAACCTTTCATCGCCGCCGTCACTTTACACAGAAAAACACAAGGTTTCGTGCTCCGGCTTCCTCCCCAAAACAAACCCCATGCAGCAGGCATGCAGCCATTAGAATGCGTCTTGCAGCATCACGCGTCTAACCCACATGTCTCGACATACATGGCAACAGAACATGGCAACAATCATGCAGCCAGCACACTGCGATCTGCAACCAGAGATTCAACAAGCGCATAGAACTACGCACACATGAACAACCACTGGTTGCGGGACACAGAGGAGGAAACGATTCTGCCCGAAACGATCGCAGCCGCAACCGCCGCACACACAAGGTACCTTTCACCGCCGGCTGCAACCACTTTACATGGAAAAAACACCAGGTTTCGTGCTCCGGCTTTCTCCCCAACACAAACCCCATGCAACAGTCATGCGGCCATTACACTGCGTTTTGCAGCATCACATGGCAAACCTGCATGTCTCGACACACATGGCCACAAAACGTGACAACTACCATGCAGCCATTACACTGCGATCTGCAACCAGAGATTCAACAAGCGCATAGAACTACGCACTACGCACACATGAGCAACCACACGTTGCAGAACACCAAGGGAGAACCGATTACGACGCCCGAAACGATCGCAGCCGCAACCGCCGCACACACAAGGTACCTTTCACCGCCGCCTGCGGTCACTTTACACAGAAAGACAAAAGGTTTCGTGCTCCGGCTTTCTCCCCAACACAAACCCCATGCAACAGTCATGCGGCCATTACAATGCGTTTTGCAGCAGCACATGCAGATTCATTCAGCACGTCACCACTTCCCTTAGTCACCATCCTTCGTCACCACCCTTCGTCAGCACCCTTCGTCATCATTTCCCTCAATCACCACCTTCGTTGCCTTCTTTTATGTGATGTCTGTTATGTCATGTACTGTTGGATGTACTGTTGTGTGATGTAAAGTCTCACACCACCCTTCGTCAGATGTAAAGTCTCACAATTCTAGCACTGTTGCGTGATGTAAAGTCTCACACCACCGTTCGTCAGATGTAAAGTCTCACAATTCTAGCACTGTTGTGTGATGTAAAGTCTCACACCACCCTTCGTCAGATGTAAAGTCTCACAATTCTATTTGTCCGTAACTCGGAAGATTGCTTCCCAACGTCCTTTAGACAATATTCAATCATCTGAAATAAGGCTCTTGAGGGATGGTAACCCCAATCCTAACCATCATCCAAGCAACCTCAGCGACGCCGCAATGAGGATTTGACGTTGCCATGCTTACATCAACATGTTAATTCATTTGCAGCAATGTTTACATGTGAACACATCATGCGCTCTCCCATGTTGTTCTCTTGGTTCTGCGACCGACTTGACCATGTGTCTCATGGCACCACTGGCACACCACTGCCATAAACTTCCGGAGTAGCAAGGTGGACCCAATGAGCCCTCTGTCTGCCGGGAAGCGGATTCCAGGCTTCGATCCGCGATCCACGGCTGGTCTGTACTCTCATCAACTTTAGTCACATCAGGTGACTGGAAACATGTATTCCCGCAAGGCACGAGCCGATGCGATCGGGTCCTTCACGAGCCCTGTGGTTTCTGTCAATATAAATGCAGGTCCCCGTACAGCCGTACAGGCGACCGCCCGAGCCGACATGCTCTGATTTTACAAACAATTCCAGAGCCAAAAGTGGCATGCCACAGTGTGCGGAGGTTCCAGACTCAAAAGAGTGCTGACTTTCCTGGGACACCAGTTTAGTCATGCACTCATGCGTTTGGGTCCAAAAACCAACTTTCGCTGTAGCTCACTCAGCTCTGTGAGTCTCCTCACGGGAGCCAAGTAGGGGGTTTGAGGATAGCAAGAAATGGGGAAATGTCACCAAGAAAATAAAGATTTCACCAGCAACCCACCACCACGGGTCAAGTCATTGGGATTCACCCAGCGGGGCTCACCTCAGAAAACCCATCCGAGCTGAAAATGCCCACCTCCTGAGCACATCTCTGAAGTTGTTCAGCAGCATCCGCTTAAATTCCGACTGCTGGATTACTGCTGCTGTTGAAGTAAATGCAGACACCAAGACAGACGTCTTGATGCCATCCAACCTCGGAGTGCAAAGAAGCCGTTGGCCAACAGATTCGAGGTTGGGGATATGACTAAGGATTGCAGGATTGCTTTATCGATTTCAATTAAAATCCTGAGCATGTCTGATCATGGGGAGATGATCAGCAAACCTTCAAGGATTGGGCCGCTGTTGATGTCCAAAAACCAGCTTCCAAATGCTCGTTTTCGACGACTCGGGTGAAGCTGGCCAAGGTCAAAAATTCAGGTCCTGGAAACCATAGAGTTTGCTTCTAGATTGATCAATTGATCCAGGATAGAATCCAGAAATCACTGGGATAAGCAGCTTAAGCATGGCTGCACCTTTTGGATTAACATTTCAAAGGGGCTCTGAAGATTTGCATGCAGTTGCATAAAAGTGTCTGTATGTACATGTACATGTACATATCTATATATATATACTTTTTCATATTGTACATGTATATCATGTATATATATCTATACATATTATGTACTAAGTGAGATAGCCTCCAAAGCAACACAAAATCCTGCAGTTACTAAGCCATTTCTTGGGGAAACGCGGGTGGCTTTGGAGGGTACAACTATGTACAATTGCTGCTGGCTGTGTATCCCGCTGCGGGGTATGATGCCAATATCGTGTCTAGTTCTATGCACCGTTGGTTGTTTCCAGTCTTAATGGTTCCATATATGCCATGATGCTTCCTTCTAGACGCGAATATAAAACACAATTCATGCTTGGTGCCATTTAGCGTCATCCCATTCCAAGGGATGGCAGATCAAAATGTTGTAAAGCACCACCCAAATGGGTAAGATTCCTATCATTGATCATGTTTGGTGTTTATAATACAGTATATAGCACAGTATAGATATATAGATATATGTGTATGTATGTGTATATATATATATAATATCCCAGCAAGATGACTAGTCTTAGATTCCCTGCAAACATACAATTGGTAGCTGTGTAGAACAATACATCTCTGTTCATGGGAAAGATAGAAACATATTGGATCCACGATAAACCAGGAAACCTCTTGGGAATCATCGTAGGGACATCAATTCATCAACACCACTTTGGGGCCGAAAAAATCGCCGAAATCTTCGCCGGGAAACTGGCCATGGGCGAAACAGCCACACAAAATGCACGCCAGGGAATTGTAATCTGCAGCAACCTGAGTTAAACTCAGCCCCGGCGGTTTGCAATGGATTGATTCAGGGGAAAATGTGGCGCAACGGCGCAACGTATGGTTGTTGCATATGTCTACCCTGAAATACGTGGGGGTCCTGCATAGTTTCCTTGGATTCTGAAAAGTGTTTGATTATTATCAAAAATTGGTTTGCGGTCCAAATTTCCAGGTTTGGGGCGACCCGAACTGTTGTATTTCGTGGATGACATGTTCATCGCCGCATCCGTTTTGTTAGGAGCCGGAGCTGGAGCCATACTCAATTTCTTTCATGCCATTGCCGCGTTGGCTCAAAATGAACCTTGTTCTGGTTTTGGTGTGTGTTTTCGACTTCCAAAAAAATAGAATGACAGTTGGAATCATCATGTGTAATTAAAACCAAAAACTATGAATCATATATATCATACCATGTCATATTGTCATATCATGTTGTATCATGTTATATTATATCATATTCAGTTGTACTATATTGTGCTGAATGCTTTGCGACAAACTATGAGTCATCTTCTATACATATACTATAGTATACCCTCTGGTAATTTAACATAGCTATGGAAAATCAATGGGTAAATCCACTATAAATGGCAATTTTCAATAGCTATGTTAGTTTACCAGAGGGTAGTGCAACATATTATATATGTACGCAACATCCAAAGCATTGGCTGGCAAATGCCGAGCTACAAAGGCTGGCGGGGAGCTCAAGCCCACGAGGCCCACGGGGTCCGCGTGGAAGGCGGCTTTCCTTGAAATCCATGGTGGAATACCAGCTTGGTTTCCATGTAACTACTGGGTTACCATTGGTTGTCCATGTGAAAATAACTAATGGGTGTTCTGGGTGTTCCCATTTCTACTAGTTATCTTCCCAAAAGTGCCCCTAAAAAGGTGGAAAATGACTAACGTATTTATCTTATAAATATATATATATATATACATACGTATAAATATATATATATATACACATACATATCTATATATATATATATGTATGTATATGTATGTATATGTATTTATGAATGTATATGTATATGTGGTTTGGCGTCTGTTTTGGGCGTTATTTTTTGCGTGACTTTAGGAAATTCGAAGTTAGTGCTCGAACCATGTATTTAGTGTATGTTCAACCCATATGTGTTGCTCACGGAGCTAAAGGATGGGATCAGATGCATCACATGCACGGTGCCAAAGCTGACCTTCAAGTGTATCTATGAAGAGTTGTATACATGTATAACTATCGATTCCATACTTCATATCTTTCTACATCCAAAAATGATTAATGGGATAAGCTAAGTCAAAATCTTCAACAAATACCCTTTTGACGTCACCATACAAACTTGTGTTTTGTGGTATTGTGTTGATGCTTATATTTCCTACTATCCGTATCCCCATTTCTTCCCAAACGATGTCACTAAGACTAAGAATCATTCTCACTCATTCTCTTCACATATCTCAACAATATCTCAACATATCTCAAAATATTTCAAAATATCTCAACATATCTAAACATATCATATCTCAACATTTCTCAAAATATTTCAACATATCTCAACAGATCTCAAAATATCTCAAAATAGCTCAAAATATCTCAACATATCTCAATATATTTCAAAATATCTCAAATAATATATATATATATATATTTGATCTACCCCCGGGGCAGTAACAGTGAGCACAAGCCAGGGGCACAAAATGAGCACCAGCCAAATGCAGAAAATAAGGGTCTAATCTGGTGATATGATACGGATAAATTCTTATACCAAAACCAAACAATGGATCAGGTAGACACCATGAATATGTAAATCATCAAATGGTTGAAAAAATGTTTCATGTGAATCGGAAGGAATCAAGCTGCACAGGTGTATGTTTCTCTCTTCTCGGCTCTGGTTGCTACAGATTTGCTAGGAACTGGCCAACTTATCACCAACATTCCGTTGGAAACCTTAGCAATTCTTAGTAACTACGACAGCTTAGCAATGTGACAACTAGCAACAATAACAACAACCGCCCCCCACCAGCGAGAGCACCACCACGACCACTACAACCAGCAGTACCAGCAGCGGCAGCAGCAGCAGCACCACCACCACCACAACAACCACCACCACCAAACGCAAGGGTGGGGGGTTGGGGCTGGGCCTGGGGCTGGGCTTGGCTGGGCTGGGGTGCTGGGGGCTGGTGTGGTTGGGTTGGGCCTGGGGGCGCTGGGGCTGGGGCTGGGCGTGGCGCTGGGGCTGGGGCTGGGGCTGACGCTGGCGCAGTTGACTTTTTTGGTTTTACTGTTTTCGGTTTTTTGTGCTCGGCTGGTGCTCAAATTGTGCCCGGCTGGTGCTCAAATTGTGCTCGGCTGGTGCTCAAATTGTCGGCTGGTGCTCAAATTGTGCTCGGCTGGTGCTCAAATTGTGCTCGGCTGGTGCTCAAATTGTGCTCGGCTGGTGCTCAAATTGTGCTCGGCTGGTGCTCAAATTGTGCTCGGCTGGTGCTCAAATTGTGCTCGGCTGGTGCTCAAATTGTGCTCGGCTGGTGCTCAAATTGTGCTCGGCTGGTGCTCAAATTGTGCTCGGCTGGTGCTCAAATTGTGCTCGGCTGGTGCTCAAATTGTGCTCGGCTGGTGCTCAAATTGTGCTCGGCTGGTGCTCAAATTGTGCTCGGCTGGTGCTCAAATTGTGCTCGGCTGGTGCTCAAATTGTGCTCGGCTGGTGCTCAAATTGTGCTCGGCTGGTGCTCAAATTGTGCTCGGCTGGTGCTCGAATTGTGCTCGGCTGGTGCTCGAATTGTGCTTTTCTTGTGGTCCCTCAGCTGCTTTGCATTGATTTTTGGTCATTTCTGATTTGCCCAGCTCAAATTGTGCTCGGCTGGTGCTCAAATTGTGCTCGGCTGGTGCTCAAATTGTGCTCGGCTGGTGCTCAAATTGTGCTCGGCTGGTGCTCAAATTGTGCTCGGCTGGTGCTCAAATTGTGCTCGGCTGGTGCTCAAATTGTGCTCGTGCTGGTGCTCAAATTGTGCTCGGCTGGTGCTCAAATTGTGCTCGGCTGGTGCTCAAATTGTGCTCGGCTGGTGCTCAAATTGTGCTCGGCTGGTGCTCAAATTGTGCTCGGCTGGTGCTCAAATTGTGCTCGGCTGGTGCTCAAATTGTGCTCGGCTGGTGCTCAAATTGTGCTTTTCTTGTGGTCCCTCTGGTGCTCGTTTTGTCGTCCCTTTGGACCTTTCCTTGCCCGGGCTAGTTTTTTTCATTTTTTTCGCAATTATTTTTGCAGTCTCCTTGTGCTTTTTTTGTGCTTTTTTTGTGCTTTTTTTTGTGCTTTTTTTGTGCTTTTTTTGGTGCTTTTTTTGGTGCTTTTTTTGATGCTTTTTTGTGCTTTTTTCTGTGTTTTTTAATGTTTTGTGTTTTTTTGTGCTCTTTTTGTGTCTAGCTTGTGCTGGTTTTGGCGGTTGGTACTTACGCGTCAATGAAGTTTTGCGATTTAGGGTTCGAATGGGCTCGGGGTTTAGAATTTAAAGTTTAGGATGGATGCCAAGTATATAACATTTCCATTTTCCCACATGGCCAATCTGACTCCATGGTTGAGCACATTACGGTGCATTGTGCCAGTTGCATCAAGCGGCCAAATCCTTTCACAATATGTTCTAGTCCTTGCTTCGATGCAGACGCCTTGCTCGCACCTTCTCAGGGTAACACATGAATGTATTGTCTGTAGTCTGCGCTCTTCTTTTCTCAATGTTGGAATGCAACTGATATGCTTGAAAGATCTTGAAAGTGAAGCCCCTGTCTTGAATTCTGAATTCTGTATCAGAGGTTTGGAGGGCAGGTTGACGTTTTTTTTTGGGCACCTCCTAGCCGAGATTTTTGGAGCAATTTCCTTGTGCTCGTTTTGAAAGGGTAGGTTAAAGGAAAATCATTTATCTGCTGTTACTGGGCGGGGGGTAGATCGAATATATATATATACCTGAAAGAGTCCGTCGCTATGTATTTATATATACACATCCCTTCCTCCATGCAGAAACTTACCCTTAGAATCCCCAGGCCCTATAGCTTTACATATCTAAAATAATATGTATACGCAGATCCAGAAAAGGTTCTAAGTACAACGTCCAGTGGTTCTATCTCGTGGGTGGCGAGGTTCTATCTCGTGGGTGGCGAAGGCATTCTACCGATCGATTTTCTGATTCTAACTCGTAAGGTCGGATTACTTTTCCAAAACGAAAACTGAAAAAAATGAAAAGCTGAAAAAACTGAAAAAAACACAATTTTCGGATAGATCCGGGGGGGGGTCCCAAAAACTGAAAAAACTGAAGAAAAAAACATAAATTTCAGATAGATGGAGGGGAGGTCACAATCTATTGCAAAATTATGTTGTTTTTTCAGTTTTTTCAGATTTTTTTTTCAGTTTTTTTTCATATTTTTCAGTTTTTGGGACCTCCCCCTGGATCTATCCGAAAACTATGTTTTTTTCAATTGTTCAGTTTTTTTTAGTTTTTGGGATCCCCCCCCTAGATCTATCCGAAAATTATGGTTTTTTCAGTGTTTTCAGTTTGTTCATTTTTTTCTGAAAATGTGGGTACCTGCACAGGATCCATGCCTGCAACCATTAGAACAAGTAGCAAGTACATATCAACACTAGGTCTCAAAAACACCGTAAAAAATCATGGGCAGTGACGAATAGGAAATAAAAACAACCTGCAGATTATCATGGTGAATTAACCAATAGGAAATCCATAAAGCCACAAATTGCATGTCCAAGCTTCTGATATTGCACACATGCCCAAAGAAGGTTACTGACCTCGTAAACTTCACAGGCGCTACCACTCAGCTCCACGACCGCAATCAGCATGGAGAACAAAGGCCCCGAAAAGACCTTCAACATCGCACAGGACCTTAGCCGATTTGATGGGAAAAATATGGAAAAATCATCCCCATTGGATTCTTAGGGGAGGTATACAGGTATACCCTTCTTTCAGACAACTCCGGGCCAACTCCTCGGCTGAGATCGTGTTGCCGAAAGAATGGAAAAAGATACAAAATGATGGCAGTTTTGAAGGCTCATAAACAATGGGTCATCTGCATCGCCTCCATGAAACCCCCATGTGTGCTACTTTTGCAAACAGCAAAAGTCCACGGCTTAACCCATTCGAACTCCCAGGCACCAGGCGATGATGGTGCAACAATTGGCCGGCAGCGTTCCATCGCCGCAGTGCAACTCTTGCGTTGCCTTTGCCTCTGCCAACTGTAGCATGGCCGCAAGCACCTTTCCCTGGCGACGCAACTTGTAAAATTCAGAATCTGAGGAAATACATTGGGGGAACCTAGTATCCATTGTATCCATTTTTTGTGGGGGGTCTGTGGTAGGTCTTGTGAAGTGTCCCTCTGGTCTATATATATTTATATATATATAGTTATATATATATATTTATATATATATATATAGTTATATATATATATATATAGTTATATATATATAAATATATATATATATACATAGTTATATATATATAGTTATATATATATATATAGTTATAATATATATATATATACATACATATACAGTATTACATACATAATGCATATATAACCAAGGTTCGGCTGGTCCCAACTTGACAGGAAACCGACCTTAGTCGTCTTTGGGGAGTCGACCATCCGCAGGATTGGGGGAGCGCGCCAGCAGCGCGCCTGTGAACCATTAAATCCATTAAATCCTTGCCGACATCGACTGAGACGATGAAAAGCTGTGGACAAGTTGATGCCGTTCATGTTGTTGAGGTTTCGCTCCTGGGCTGATCTTACCCTGATGAGTTTCCTTCTAAAGGGTTGCGAACTGGAAAACCAGAAAAATAAAACAACATATGTAAATCATCTACAAACAGGCCATTTTCCATGGCCATTTTGGAAATTGTTACAGTACCAAAGGGTAAAGCGTTTAGATCAGAAAACCCGGAGGTTTATGGGCCATTAAGTAGCCAGTGCAACCTCACAGATGGTTTTGTCTAACAAGATAGTACTCCAAGACCTCATGGTTGATCATCTTCCACATCAAAATGATCATTTTGGGGTACCCCCCCATTTTGGATACCCTCTGGTAAACTAACATAACTATGGAAATTCACCATTTTTAATGGGAAAATCCACTATAAATGGTCATTTTCAATAGCTATGTTAAATTACCAGAGGGTAAATACACAAGTGTTTTGATGCGAGCCCGCGAAGTGTCGACCACGTGCAAAATCGCAGCCGGCGTAGAACCTGCGTTGAGATGCGAACAGGAGCGGATGGGCCAATGACGAAAAAAACCATCGTGCAAGGGTTGCTGGTCTCAACTGCCTGAAAATCTGAAAGATACAGTAGATACCCCTTGATGTACTCGTTGCCATGGTAGATTCTCAGACTGGGGAGAAACATGGTAAACCATCACCCAAAATCGCAGTGTGGCTGGTGGTTTTACCTTTCAAAATATGATTCCAAGTCTCCTGGTTGACGATGGAAAAAGCCCTCTGAAAAATCCAATTTGAACTTGAACCATCCAGTAGTAATCAATTTCCCCAAGTGTTGACCCAACACTAAGTCAATGAGGTGCAGTCCTTCCAACGAGTCTGGCAGAGTCTAGCGTGTCTTTGAAACATGTGTTCAAATTCTTTTTGGTGCCTTCCTTGAAGTGAAACAGCCATTTCACTCTTTACTTTTTTGTCTTTTTTTTGATTCCAAAAAAGAGCTGACCACCCAAAACTCACATCCCGCTCAGCTTTGCAATCCGCCAGGGTTTCAGGTTCCTTTTGAAGTTGCATTCTGATGCCAGTCACCCAGAGATTGAAACCCAAGAAGCAAGAAGCACTGCTGTTGCAAAGAACGTTTCTCTTGTTGATCCCCATGTTTCACCAACTTTGGGATCCGGGATCGTAGTGATTTATCACCATTTCTCTAACTTTGATCCCCATGATCAGCCCATCAGCTCAGACAGCCTGCTGACAGCTGCCTGTTGATCTTCCTGTGCATCTCCAACTCTTCGGCTGTTTCCTCCCCGTCCACCGCATCCGCGCTGTGGGCGACCACAGCACTTGACTCCTGGAGACAGAGGCCTTTCTTAGGATTGTTTCTGTTTGTTTTGATCTCAATTTTAACATATGGAAGGCTACATGGTACCCAACTAGCCTCCAACCTTTCTGGTTTTCACGTTTTCACCATGGAAACCAAACTCTCCCGCTCTCGTCTAGGCCCAGTGCTGCCCAGAATCGGTGGATTCTGCATCCGAACGTGACTCACAAGAAGCCTTGGTCCAACTGGTGAACATGACCAAGGGATTGCATGGGACAGCGTTGCATACCTGCCATTGGCAATGACTTTTGGCAACGATTACTTTCAAGACTATTTCTTTGAATCTCTGAAGTTTATCTGCTTCCGGGATGAAACCTGAGAAATGATGATTGGAAGTAGCCCACACTAGACTTGAGCAGTGCCCAAAACCCTTTGCCATCCCCTTTTGCAGGTTCGATGATAGGGGCTCTCATATTGAAGTAGAGTAACCCCTCTATCAATCATTTAAAACCCTTCTCAAGATATTTCATGGATGCTCTGCCTCTCAACCAAACATGTTTTGTTCCAAGGTGAGGACCACAAAGTGGGAACGCCGATGGTCAGAGTTTTGTCAGGGGGACAAGAGTTGGTACATTCAGAGGAAACCAGAAAATCACCGGACGGCGTGGGCCAAGAAACCATGGTGCTCGAGGTGCTTTGGGCAAAACTGGTCTTCTCAACAAGCAAGTCCTCGGCCGAAGAATTTTTCATGGCTGGAGCTCTTAGCTGGATATTAGCTGGATATAAAGACCCTCATGTGGGCTTATCTGGCTAGTTATATAGGCTTAGTTCTGGAGATCAAACGATGAGGAGGTAAAGGACCAGGATGAGGAAGGGGACCAAAGGACTAGGGGACTAAAGGATCCGGGGACCTTAAATCGTTGTTCCAGTAATTTTATTTGTTTTTCTCCAGGATCCTAGTGTCTTTTCCAGGAACTTAGATGTTTCAACTTGGACCACTGTTCCAAACCAAGCTTCAGCATCTGTCATCTGTGACGTACGCCGCATGGTGGCCACGGGCACTACCGACCCGAGGGTATGCACCCTCCACTTCGCGGGACACGAAGCAGCTCGGAGCCTACGACCTTCCGTCTTGGCTCGAGCCGCTGGTTCGAAGACCAAAAAGGTGTTCTTCACATAGATGTCATATGATTCCTGGCGAATGGGCAAATGGGATATGATTGCAGTACCTATCTGTCATATGATTCCTGACACAAAAAGGGGATTCCAATTGGAAAATAAATGGGACCCACCATTTGTAGCACCGGAAAAAGAGTGCAAGCCGTAGTTGTCCATCAACCCAGACTGAGCGCATCTTGGAATCATGATATCCCAGTACATAAAACACTATGTATGGTGATATAAAATCATGTAAATTGAAGTTGTTACCATTTGCCTAGATCTCTTGCAACATATGCAAATTGAAGGTGCGTATCATCTGTTCTCATAGGGGAGGCAAACAGAATCGACTACCTTCGCCCTTTGATTTGATGATTCGACCATTGTACCCTGCCCGACAAGCTCCTCCGCCATTCAAAGGATCTTGGTCCCGGCGGCCCTGAAGGCCCTGAATTGAAGAGTCTTCCCGACCGCTGCTACAAATTCGACTAAGTTACATGGTGTGACGGTGGCGCACACCCATAAATCGAGCCAAGTGCAGTTTGCGCGCGTGATGCCTTTCTCTGCTGAATTTTCAATGCCCAACATGCCTGAACTTTATTCAAATCTCACTGGAGATGGTTTCTTTCGAAGCGTTCCCGATCTGGGCTACTTCACAAGCCTGAAACAACTGAAACAAGCGCAGGAGATGATTCATCCAATCTAAACTGATCTAAGAATCTAAACATGTGTGAAGTTTGATCGGCCCTTGAAAATTTCCTCAAAAAACATTCTGAGTTTTCCACCTCTGTCCACTCGGGGCCCAGGAGGCCCATCATGTAGGTGATCACCTGCTGTGGCAAACCATGGTCCAATCATGGCGGGAGGTCTTCGGCACTGATGAATATCTGAAGATCTTTGGCCGATGCCAACAGCGTCATGTTAGATACGTATAGATACGTTACAAAGAAGTTCATGGTCGCTGGATATGACATATATTCCTGCTATGTGCAAAAAATAACGAATCCACTAACCATTCAGGATTTGGGACTACATCGCCCCTCAGCATCCGCCAGCTTTTTGTCAGTGGAAGTGGATGGACCAGCTGCTTCCAAAGGAAAGCCCGGGTTTGCGGACCTCGGGAAAATTTCGGAAAAAAATATGGAGACCTGTTGGAAGGACCGAATGATGGGCCCCACAAAAAAAAGCTGGATGTCATCTAAATTATAACGAGTAGGTAGCCCATAAGCCAACAGTTTTGGATGTCCAATACGTCCATAACCCTGTGTATAGCTAAAAGGGGCGCAATGATTGGTGTATGGCTGCAGTTCAACCCTGATCTCTCTGGTGTAACCGGGCACTCAGAACAAACGGGGACCCAACTCAGACCCTGAAACTCTGAAACTTGGTAGACCCTGTAGATTCACTGTAGATCCCAATCAATCGCTGGAAAAACGACAAGAGAAACCAAAATCGATGGAGCAGTCGTTTGGATGAAAAAAGTCAATGCAACTTCGCTCCCTCACATCGCCGGAGTCACAGTGAGGTCCACGGCTGAAGTCCTCTCTGGCTGCGAGTCGATGCTGAAGTCCAAAGTTTCCTGAGGAAATCTGCGACAAAAACTACTCCGAATCTGATTGGAAAAAACCTGTACAAACCTACCATCTCACTATATTTCACATACCTCACGGCTGTTCGAACATGTTAGAACATAGAACTTCCAAAAAAAAAAATGCGGTGTTTTTCAAGCAGAAATTTATTGGGGGTTCCTTTGGGTCATGTAGTGGCAGCGCTTTTCAGTCCAGGATCTAGTTGTAACCACACGAAATCGCTGGTCCTCTTACTCCAAGGAATTTGGGATATCATCCGTGGATAAAAAGGGGATTTCCATCCTTTTTTCGATGGGATATCATATGACATGCATGTTTCTTCGGGTAGTCCAAAGAATGATTCAGGTGCTCGTTTTGTCCTCATCGGAACTAACAACCCCTTCAGCGGCTCTCTGGATGAATCTCCATGCCGACGGCAGGAACTTTTTATTCCCATCATGACAGGTGACGTCAATCTCTGACAGTTGGTGAATTTCATGGTACCCTCTGGTAAACTGTCCCATAACTATGGAAAATCACCATTTTTAATGGGAATATCCACTATAAATGGCCATTTTCAATAGCTATGTTAAATTACCAGAGGGTAACCCATCGTTCAAAAAAAAAGCACAGCGGATTTCACCAAAGCTCTTCTCCTTTGGTGATCTGTTTCGGAATCTTCGTCATCCCCAGCAGCACCAGCCGTTCGATGCGCCGTTCCACGCTGGGTGCGGAAGCCGCGCGCTTCGTCTTGTCCAACGTTGAGGCAGTTCCTGGAAGCTGCAGAAGCTGCAGAAGGATGTGGGAATTAAAATGGTTTTTTTAGTGGATGTAAATGACATACATTTCAAGACATAGATACATATATGTAAATTATACACATGGTATCCTCGAAGTATATTCTATAGCTGATGGCGTTTAGTGGATATCGACTGGTGATTGAATGGTGGTTGTATTGTTAGTGGGTAGAATATATGCACTGCTCATTGGATCCTGTATGATATCTTTTAGATGGGCTGACAGATACCGTATAATATCCTGCAACGCAATTATATAAATATCAAATAATCAAATGCATGCCAACGATCAAATTCGGCATCTTTCATACCTTGTCGATGTCAACCATGTCTTTGATGGAGAGGTATCTAACTGCAAACGTGTTCCCATCCCCACGACCGTGACCTCGCAAGGCGTTGAAATCCAAGGTGATTTCATCAAAGATGTAGGCCCCCTGGCCATAAACTCAGTGGCTGGAACAAACATGGGGACATAGGGGCGGGCGTCCTGATATCCAACATGCCCAATTCGTTTCAGCTGCAGCATAGGATGCTGGCCTTCTGATATTCATGACTTCGGCCGTCATCAATATACACACGACCTGCGCACAGGACAGGGAAGTCCTTCCATACACCATGCAGCATGCACTCCATTTGGAATCCACTCTGTTGCTATCATTCGTTAATTACGTAGTTATGTCGATGTCCATTCCAACATCATCCAACATCTGGAGTTCCTTGAAACCCAGCTGGTCATTTTCTCCCAGTGGATCCAAGTTGCCAGTGGCTGGTTGGCCATAGCAGACCACTGTGTAGGGATCGCCCTCCATAGCACCACTGCTGCGTCGCGGCCGCCAGCGCTGCACCAAGCAATGTCCCGAGCGGACAAAAACGGGCACGTGGTGCTTGTGCAACGGTTCCTGGCTGGCCAAAACTATGGGTAGTAAACCACCATGTCTGACTACTGAACCCACAGTTTTTGATGGTGAAGTCCGTTTTTACGCATCCATCGTGGGAACTCTATGTTTATATATCTATGCATGCATGCATGTATGTACGTCTGCATGTATGTGTATATATATATGTATATAATGTGTATGTATATATATATATATTTGTACATGTATACTTGTATGTATGTAAGTAAGTAAGTAAGTAAGTAAGTAAGTACGTACGTACGTACGTATGTATGCATGTATATATATATATGTGTGTGTGTATGTGTGTGTACACGCACACACGACATATTCAGTATTTAATATAGCAACGTTATATATATATACTGTATATCATATCCATCCCAAAACCATCCACTGGTCCTTGTAGCTTCCACTGGGGCGAATGGAACTAGGATCCCAGAAGTCGTACCAGCTCGAATTCCCAGGAAGATACAGCTTCACCTTAGCAAAAAATCTGGAAATCTCAGGGGAAATCACCAAGTGGATCAAAAATTTTGGAAAAACCGGGATTCGAAAGACGAGTTTGGGGAAAATATGACTTTCCCAAAATGTTTGCAAAATCATCAACACACATTGGGAGATTCTGAAGCTTTTTGGGATTTAATTCACCTGGGCCATGGGGAGATGGGTCCCATGTCAGGGTCCCATGGGAAAAATCGCCGAGCTACAGACTTGCCGGTCTCTGGTGCGCGCACCAACAAGGCATCACCCACAAAGAAGTGGCTGTCAGCGTGCTGAAAAGCCTCCAAGCTGCCAGGTGAATATGTTGGCTATGTAGTGACCCCTCGCAATATGGGTAGATGCTTCGTGTCCCGATTATCAAAGTGTTAACATTCGTATTTCATGAAGACTTTAAGAAGACTGCTGGCTGTCATTGAAAGGTGTTTCATGACAAGTTGGGAAGGTGATATGCTCTGGACCTTGACGTTTACACCTCACAAACAAGGCCGATGGCGTAGCTTGACGTTTACACCTCACATCTGACCCGTGCCACAACCAAACACCACCAGTCTGGATTAGCACCTGCGTATCCTGAAGATCATGATACCAAATGGGTCTGATCATTGGAAGACCTCAACAAATCGGGATGGCAAAGGTGGTTCAGCTGAGAACCAAATGGCATCCCAAATGGCATCAGCTGAGATGGAAACTGATCATCCCAAAAATTTGCAAAAATCGTCCCCTGGAAACCATTGGGAACACCTCAAGGCACCCCGAACCCGAAGCTGTCAGGGACCACACCAAGCAGTGCCCACTCGGCTGCCAGGGTGTACCTTGGAGCAGCCCTGGATGTCTATTATGTCTATTGGCTCAACCCCAAGTTTTTTCCCCAAATATCCCTAGTCTTAAATGATAACATAGCAGCGCCGATCATGTGATCCTGTTTGGCTGATTCGATAAGAACATCGATTTTGTTTGAATGGCAATCCAAAGAACATGGAAACAAAATTGAAACCGCCAACTCATTTACCTACATACATTTCCATAGTGTATATATATAGTAGATAATCTCCTTGTTGCTAATGGGTGATATCAACTTATCAACATCTAAAAAAGAATGAGCCCAGGCAGTGTCCCCAACAATGGCCTCAGGAGACCCTGGAAGCCACAACTGAAGCCCTACCGGAACCTGCACCGGAACCAAGACCGGAAGTTGCACCGAACCTTAAAAATGGACTGAGACCCCTAAGCTGACGCTAGGGAAATTGTTCTAAATCATCACCATGTTACAACCAACTCACCTGGTGAGATGCCAAGCTACCACATGGGCAACAGCCGGTAGCGCGTCAGAACGGCGCTGCGGACCTTTTCAAGGACTGTGGTGCCAAAGATCCAGGGCTCACGGCGTTTGCTGGTGAGATGTGCATGGGCCCGATAGAAAGGATACCTGGCTCTCAGGTGGGAGCAAAGGGTCCAAAAAATAAGCAATATATATGTATATATATATAGTGTGGAACTAATGGACCGGATTTGGTCAGTTTTACCAATCAGGAAGTCATACGATAGTTTGCCAACCAGAGTGTATGCCAAAGAGAAGAAATGGGAGTGAATGGGATGGAATCAAAGTAAACAGGAGAAAATAAGAGCCTACCTTGAAAGGTCGCCAATTTTGATGCAAGAACCAGCAACATCAATAACCATTACCATTCTGTGTACATTGCCATGCTGGGCGGCTTGGATATGAATCTCAATCGAGCCCACCATCCCAAGATAACACCAGGTGATACCAGGTGGCCAAATGCCCAGCTGATGCCATCGCACAAACAGCTCCAGATCAGGGTCACCCATGAAGCCAGCCACATCAGCACCAGCCAGTGATAAGCCACACAGGGACAGGGACAAAAGCATGGGAACTGAACGTTCCAAATGCCTGGCAGCCATTCAAAAATCTCAGCCCCAATTTCAAGGTCGAAAACCCAAAAAAAGGACCTGGTCCAAAAATCCACCAAAACTCAACTTCGGAAGAGCTGCAGGGAGTCTTGCGGTCATGCAAATGATATCAAATGATTACCTTCCCACTTCGTCATCAATGTCCCCAACATTTTCAGGATACCTCACCTGGCCCTGTGCAGCCGCCAACCGAAACTGGATCAGTTCATCCCGTTGAACTGGTTGTCGCGTTTCTCACATTTCTCACTGAAAATGTCGCGACAAAACTCAAGGGTCAAACTTCAGCCCTGGTCACTTCCAGTGTAAGTCCATCCCACCATATCCAACAAGCTGGTGCCCAGAACTATAAGTTGGTTTATGACCCTGATGAAGTATATAGTTCAATATCTCCATCGTATCCATAGTACCATAAACCCAAGAGTTGGGAATTTATACCAACTCAAAATCAGCTACAGCTATTACAGCTATGTTCTTCCGGTCTTCACCTTTTCAATCCTCATGGCTTCGTACCCCACCTCCAGTTGGCCATGTTGTCCCCCGTCCAAGCCGCGCCATGGCGATGGGACCCTGCGAAGAAGCTCCGCGTCAGCACGAAGGGCCGCTGCTCGGGCTGACGCAGCAGATGGCCCTGGACGCTCGCCTCCTGGAGACGTGTTTTGTTTTGGATCTGCTCCTTAGCTAGTTATTGTTGATTTATGTTTATCTATATTTCATTTATATTCATCTATATTCATCTATATTCATATATTCATATGTATATATATACAGATATATATATATATACAGATATACATATATACATATATACATATATACATATATACATATACATATATACATATATACATATATATATATACATATACGTATATACGTATATACGTATATACATATATACATGTATACATATATACATATATACATATATTATATACACATATACACCCTTTATTGTGCAAGGTCCCATTTCCAACAGTAAGTGATCTTGAAAATGGAGCCCACTCCACGGTTGCCTTCAAACTTGGCTTGGCAATCCCCATGAAAAACTTGAATCGAACTGAATGGGGAACTGTCCAGCAAGCCATGTTTGACTACCAAGGGGGTTGACTATCATGAGCTCGAGAATACCATTGTTAAATCCCTCATGAATTGCAAAAAAAACCTCATGAATTGTAATGGTTATCCCCTCATGTTTTCTTAGGTACTAAGAATTGTTGTCTACCGAACCAAAGAACCAGTCCACATCATGGGGAGATCAAGCCACTGGATAAGCATCTTGGATATGACCAATCCAGCTACTTGGGGGTGCATCCCAGTTGTCTATGGATGATACATCAGGACCTTGGATTCTCGGTGATTTCTCCTGAACCCAGAAGCCATAGAGGTTGTGCACCTCTGTGGAAGAGCCGGACCAAGAATCTGGGTTTCCAGATCTTGGAAAATGACCACATGATAACGGCAATAGTGGGATTCCAAAAGATTTCAGTGGTGGATTTGCCCAAATTTGAAACAAATCACATCTACATTTCAAGTAAAAGGAACAAATGGAAATATTCACTTGAAACATTCAAAATTGGGGGGTATGTCCCACATTCTTGGGAAAGGGGCTGAGCCAGTATGCTCTACTACCTGCCAACAGGATCCAAACGAACCCAGAATCCTAGTCTCAAATGATGTAACCCTCCATTCTGTGAATGTTTGGGATATGTGATATGGATTTAAAAAAAGAATTAGATAGAAAAACTATTTACAGTCGCACTAATTTAGTATACATGGTCCGACTTTTCCCAGCAATGGCACGTGATTGAAAATGTCAATTGGTTTCCTATCTTTCCCAGTTTAGTACTGCTTTACTTTCTCCCAAACATAAGTTCGTTAGTTATATTTATATGATATGTATATACATATGGACGGATAGACGGACGGACGGACAGATGGATAGATAGATAGATTAGATACATAGATAGATTGATTGATAAATTGATTGATAGACTGATAGATTGATAGATTGGTAGGTTGATAGATTGATAGATTGATAGGTTGATAGATTGATTAGAAAAATTGATTGATTGATTGATTGATTGATTGGTTAATTGATTGATAGGTTGATTGGTTAATTGATTGATAGATTGATAGATAGATTGATTGATTGATTGATTGAATTGATTGATTGATAGACTGATAGATTGATAGATTGGTAGGTTGATAGATAGATCGATAGAGAGATAGAGAGATAGACAGACAGAAGACAGATAAAGAGATAGACAGACAGACAGATGTATCCCATGAATATCCTTACATTCACTTAAAATAAGAATAAGGATGATAACATCATATCCTGTATTACAGTATCCCAGGAATTGAGTCAAATACATCTATGCTAATATATATATATATATTAGAGAGAGAGAGATCCTGTGTAATGTCAACCCTGGATAAACAAACCCCGAGGCTGTTTAATTGGGTAAGGTAATCACCACTAAAGTATCCGATTGTTAGCATTTGGGAGTACCCCCACCCCTAATTAATCAACCATGGTTTATTCACGCGGGAATGACATTGTCCTATGATTATATCCTATATCCTATAGATCTACATATCCTATACATATAATATATATATATATATATCCATACATATCCTATGATAATGATTATATCCTATATATTCTATATCTCTTATATTTTTTCCCCATCCCTTGGTTTCTCTCCCGGCGCGCCTCCCGATGCTCCAGGATCTCATCGCCACAGTGATGCCGGGTGTCCTGGCCCAAAAACTTACCGGTGCGTTTTACGTAGGGAATGGATGGGTTGCTGGGGGTTGCTGGAATTATTCTTGATAGTTAGTTCTTGTGGATCATTCCCGAAAATTCCCTACGTTTAGCACAAGTAAGGTAATAGTAATGAATAATGGATTCAATAGTAAGCATGATAGTAATACACTATGGTAATAATAGTAATAGCAATATGAATAGTAATAGTAATAGCATCCTAATCACGGGATAACTAGGAGTAGCAATGGTAGTGGTAATAGAAATAGTAATAGTAATAGGAATACTAACAATAAGAAGAAGCAGAGTAGCGATAGGAAGAAGAAGAAGAAGAAACGGGAATGAAATTCGAATGAAATAGTATTATTGTTGATGCCACGATGCTGCAATGAGAGTGATGATAAGAATAGTGAGAGTATATTAGAATCATCAGGACGATAGCAATGGCACGAAGGAACCTTGCAGGGAATCCCAAATCCTTGGAGCCTGTTTTCAGGGTCAAGCCGTAGATGTGTGGTGAAAGGTGGATATCCCAAACGGCTATCAATCTATGTCTAGAGTTAGAGTCTATAGTATATATATATATTATACAGCATTATATTATCTACCAATAAAGAATCTATCTCAATAAAGAATGTCAAAACAGAAGGACAAATCTTGACAACAGAAAGGTAACCATCCGTCTCCAAATTCTTTGGATTTTTCGGGGCTTACGGCCTCTGGTTGATGGGAGCCCCGGGGCCAAATGGCCAAACCTCAATGTTTGTTGCATCATTTGGCCGTCGACTTGGGTCCGTGAGCGAAAAACACCCGGTCAGCCTACCTTCGGCAGGGTGATTTCTGGCCCATCGAAAACGCTGGGCTCATTCCTTGTCAAAGACACCGCAGGAGAGTGACTAAGTGCGTAATCTTTCCCTGGCTAAACATGGCTAAACCATCAAACAAACTCGGAACAAACTCAGATACCCTGGCAAAAAATATGGAGATTTATGACTATGCATTTAAAATTGGCACGGAACCATCCAAAAAATGGGGTTCAAACCCTGGCAGGATGTGATGTTCCGCCATCAAAACAGCTCAAGACTGACTGGTTCACCTACCATTCACAAGGTTTACCCATTGGTTCTGGATGAGACTGCGAAAATCATCACATCACATCCACTCCTGTTGTAAGAGTGGACGGGTGAGGATCAAAGGATTGACACCTGAGGAACCACTTGTTCCTGGCCAGAACCTTGAAAAGACCTCAAGAGAATTCCCGGACAATCCACCAGAAGAGTATCGTCGTCTATGTTGCCGCAGTTTGGGGATAGCTGAGCTCTAGCGATCTAGAGCCTAGTGAAGCTATTCGATCGGTTCAGTCGGTCTTTTAAAAGCTCACCACAGCCATCGGAAGTCGTCGGAAGTCCAAGTTTCATGTCATTCCATGTGTACAGCTCCGCTGGGCGTCCGGGGTATGCCTTGCGGCCAAGCGGCCAAAGGAAGGGCTTGGAGCAAGAAAAGTTCTCATTCTCTGGGAGAACCTTCTCTTTCCATACTACATATACTCATCAAAACATCAAATGTTTGGTGATTCATCTGCCGTCAATGGTGAATCCAAGAGTATGATATTCCTCGAGTCGCGGTTGCTCTTTTCAAAGGCGCCTTGAAATCAAAGAGCTTCGCCCATTCAGCTCGCGCTTCCGGGGAGCAAAAGTCCGGATACACCGAAGGGCCAGGCCAGCAGAATCCATGGAAGTCTTCTCCTGCAGCGGGGAAATATTTAAACAACAGCTGCCTCGCATTGCTGCGCCCAGTCGCCCAGGTCCTGAGGGTTTTTGGACCACCAACTTCTTTTCTTTGAAGAGGTTGGCGACCTTGGTGGGATGCTGTCACTTCATCGGGATGATTGGATCTCGCACCAAAAGGTGGGCAACCGATACGAGTCGCTACGAGCATCAGCTGCATCTTCCAGCCGCAAACCTGCCCTTTCTTCCAGTAGCTGATCAGCAATGAGATGCCTTCCAAGTCACTGTGTAGTTTGAATCATTTGCAAACCTCAGGCGGTTCCGCGGACCCCACTTGGTGGACGGGGACTCAATCGGAATCTTCGCCAAGTAACAAGTGGGGATCGATGATGGTCACCAACTTTCGGTGTGTTCCTCGTGAAGAAATCACCAGTGATATCAGTGATATCCCGGGACTGTGCACCTCTGATTCTTGGCTTTCCCCTTTTTGCTCACTCTCCCGTTTGGTTGATACTTCCCGTCACCCTAGTATTAAGTGTTCGAATAAACGACCCCGAAAATGAACGGATCCAATGCTAAACAAGGGTTTTACATGGTATCACCATTACTGGCGGTGTATTAATTGATACCACCATTACTCAACTGGGTTCACTCCAAGTTTCGATTCAAGCTGTCCAGCATCGTCTCCACTTCAGGCAGTGGGAAGTGCTTGGGATCCCAGGTGAAGTAACGCTTGCCATGCGTATGTTCCTCGCGACAAGTTGGGGCTCAGTTTTTTGGGGGAATTTCCGTGACAAAGCCCTGATTTTTGGGGGTTATTCCGAATATTCCTGTGAAATATATGGGGACCTGATATTTTGGATGGCCGACCTTCCCTCCTTTGGATTTCACTCCATCCCACAGGTGCCATGAATCCAAGTCCAGCCAGAGGAAGTCCAATGGGATGCCGTGCCGATCAAAGTTTCGGCTCACCTGCCATGGGAGAAATCGAGAGATCACTGGAAGCCATGGAAAGAAATGGCCTTTCCAATCAGAAGAACATTGAACATCAATGTTAATTTTCCGTTCCATTATGTATATAGATATATACAATGTGTATGTATATATATATATAAGATTTCTTTCCATCAATTATATACATGATTGTACATGATTATACATGAACGTTTGACAAGGATGCACCCACCACATGTCCGTCTTCGTTCACTTGAATCCTTCCAACTGACGTTTCTCTGCGTTTCACTCAAGGAACCAAACTTCTCCCGGATTCTATTCAAACATGTCTCTGACTGTTTCTCAACCCTTTCATCAACACTCCTTCAATTCACCTGTTTCGGAGGCTCCTTTCTGGGAAGAGAATGGATTCAAGAGTTGATAAATGTGGATAATCATTAAAGCACTGGAATCTACTCCTTTTGCTCATTTCTACATCTTTCTACCATAACTTTCAGAGATTCGGCCTCCATGACATCCTCTGGCGTGATGTAGTTCCACCGTGACTGATGCTTCCCCAAGGCTGCCAGGGGCGGCATGCGCGGCAAGCCCGTGACCGTGTGGTACTGTTGCAGGACGTCGGTCACCGAAGGGCCCAGGAAAAAGTAGAGCTCCAAGGGTCCAGTTTCCTACCGGGAAGCCAGTAGGGGATCCTGGATCCTGGGAGGATCCTGGGACATTCGGGATGATTTGATCCGATTGATCCTATCATTTTCCCGAATGATGAACTACTGTCAATTTGAGCGTGGATTCTTCGCGAATTTTCCGAGGTGATGAACAATTGATAGGCCAGTAAACGTTCCGCAAGAACCATATCAAGGGAGAGGAACATTCATAACTACCAGACTACCAGCTATCTTGCCGTTGCGGGGTGTCAGGATCTGTTTTTCGGGTCAGGCTCTGTCAGGATGTGCAGCTCAGCGCTTGCACACAGGGAAACACGCTCTGCTAGACTGACTTTTGAACTTTGAAGCCGAGTTTGGAGAGTATCAAGTTCCAAGCAGGTGAGTTAAGCAACATCAAGAATGCAAATCAAGAAAGCAAAATGAACAAAGTAACCGTAGCCCAAAGCCACCATGCTGTGACCGCGGCTGTACCAAGATTCAAAGATCCACCAGCTCTCCGTGGCGTTGCTGGCATCCACCTTGCCCATCCGCGATGAAAATCATAGTTTTAAACCCTAGGTGACCATTTATGTATTATTATGTATTCATGTGATTCTAGAATATTCAAGATAGATTATTAATTGATATAATTTCTATAATGATTGACTAACCTCGGGATAGTTACGCCTAACCATCATTCCAGTGACGTTGCAGATTTCGGTCGTTAGATTTGTGCAGATTTCTTCAACCAGCTGTTGGCGTTCATCGTCCTTGGTGCACCATCCAATTTGGGGTGAAACTCACCCTTATTTTGTTCGTCAAACATTTAAACACTTGACTGAAAGATTGCAACATTTAAAACCACCCGCATTTTTGGAGCTTCTCAATGCTTCTTATGTAATGTTCAAGTTCCAGTAAGTTCAACACTTAAAGTGAAAACACTAAGTTAAACATAGTTAAACACTATAAGCTATGTCAATTCCCCATGAAATGCCACCTGAACGAAGCCCTCCGAGGGATTCAGCGCCAGCAGCCCCGAGGCTCCGGAGCGCTGGACGCAGGTCACGAAGGGAATGGCGCCATAGAGAGCCATGGGCACATCCACCTACCCGGACGGCCCGGACGGCCCGGACGGCCCCAATTGGATCCAGATGGTCCGTTTTCACTGGGAAGTTCACCCCAAACATGCTGGACTTCATAAGCTGGGCGGATTGAACATGGAGATGACTTTGAACATGGCGTGAACATGGTATTTTGTGGGTCTTACATTATTCACGTTTCAATCACCATTGTATGATTGAAAGGAATATGATTGGAATATGGGAAAAAATCTTTGGGATACCGCACGAATCCCTCCAAGATTAGGTGTCACTGGGGTGTGTACAAGGAAAAATTGACAGGAAACCCATCTCTCTGTTTAGCTGGGCATGACGCATTAGGTGGACATGATTGAAAACCATACAGTACTTTTTTCTGTAAACCTAAATGAAGACTACACCACATCTCGCGGTCAAATAGGTCACGCCCTCCATTGTTAACCATGAAATTAAATTGGGGTGTTCCGAAGTAAATCTATTTTTGATATGGTTCTTCATCCCAAAAACAACCACATCTAAAAATCCCACACTGATCCCATCATCCGATGATCCGAGGCTGATGTACACTCTGGCGTCACTTCCCCTTTCCTGCAAGCGTTTTGGGATGCGTTTAGGGCACCTCATATTCAAAGACGTCCAAGTTGTAGAGTCCTCAGGTTCAGATCAGTGCAGTGTCCCCATGATTTCCCATCAATTCGTGGAGTGTTCCCAGGAGCGATGTACGACCCAGTACAGTTCATGTCTAACACCAACCTTTCTGGGGAATCCGAGGTGTCCGACAACCATGGGTGCACAGTTAAGGTATCTAGTGACATCATGGGTCCAGGGGCCATGGTTGCCAAGCTTCGGTAAGGTTCTTGAAACTTGCCCAGATGCAAGGAGGTCGCATGCTCCTTGGGAGAGGCGACTGCGTAAAATGGCGAATCCAGGACCAATTAAACCAGGTTTGACCGAAAAATCCATGGTCAAAATTGGACCTGAAACCCAAGAAACATGGGTTCGTCTATAAGGCCATCAAAAGTGCAGTCTTGGGATAATGATTCATCCAAACTATCCAAACCCAAATATCAGATTGTTATGTATCCCATGAATATCCCCCATCAAACAGTCGCTTTTATGGCAATTCCCTCCACAACCCCCATCCGCCCAAGGCTCTGCCAACCCCACCAGCGCCATGCTCTCGGCAAAGGATACGTCAAAGCCGCGGCCTGTGGGACCGGGCCGGCGGTCCACGAACTGATCGAAGGATTCTTCCCACAGGAACCTGGCACTGAGCAGTCAGCTCCCAAAATGATGATGGAAAAAATTGATATCCCAAGTGTTTGATGAGTCAAAACCGAACAAATTCCTTGTTAAAATCCTATTCCAGAACTTTTCCAACTGAGCAGTGGCTGCGAGACGCCGAAATGTCCATGAAATACTGATTAAGAAGGGGATTCCCACTTCATGTCTGGGTTTCGCATAAAGTGTTAGGTACTCATAGTCCAGGATAATCAACTAGTCATACAATTATCAACTCGATTATAGTAGTTGGGGACTACCGGTCATCAAGCGTGGCAATGGAAAATCCAACATCTATAGATGATGTTCATTGGTGTTCCCATTAAACCTCCATTTCGACCGGATGTTCCGGCTAGCCATGTTTGAGGACACCGAAGGGTATATCCCCACCTCTATCCCATTATTTATACATATTACCATATTATTCTCATATCCTCCCCCTTATATTTCCCATAAATGGATGTGGGAAATCGTCATATTCCCAATTATTGTCCATTCAAAAGGCCACTAATATCCATCAAATTCCATTATCGACACCTGTGGAAACCACAAAAAATGATTCCCCACTGTTTTCATCGGGATATATCATATCATTCTGATTCTACATAATATCCCATCATAATATTTCACGATTAGCCCCAGAAATCATCATCATCATCATCATCATCATAATCATAATCACATATATATATATATATCCCAATATCAATATCAATTGTATCCCATCATTATTATCCCACATATCCCATATATATATATATATATCCCATCATTATTATGGCACATTCCCCAATCAACCAGCAGGGCTGGGCCAGAGCTCACCTGGGATCCAGGTCGGCCGCATCCAGTGGAGGCCCCACAGGCCGTGGCGACTCTGTGGCGCGGCCGTGCCGTGGCAGCTCGTAGTTCAGGAAGTGCCTGGTTTCAGAAAAGATGCGTATTCTGTCATTGCTATGTATCATATCTTTGTAATTATGTATCTTGTAGAAGTATGTATGTTTATATATATATATATATGCACACATAAATTATGTATATGTCTATATACATAATACAATATATTTTATTATATTAGACATACATTCCTATAGACTTTTCGGTCAATAGTTCATCATATGGATCCTGATCAAAAATAAAAAGCATATCCCCAACGAAAATACCAAACTATGGGGTACTCCCAGGGAACCACTAGCTGGGGCTCAGGAGGTTTGGGCCACTGCCAATTATATAATTGTTTGGATCCATCAATCATCAAACCACCAAGTTCAAATGGATCTGGTCTGATTTGAAGTTTCACGCAGTTTGACCCCCGGATGCAATTGTCCCTTCGCCACACAGCTGGCCTGGCATTGAAGGTCTGCAGCAGAAGCCCATCACGAAAGATCTCCAGTTGAAAGGGTTGGTGTCGCAGCAGAACAGCACAAGCTCCGCTCTTCGAGGTGAATGTTGTGCCACCCTGGCGAGCCGTTGTTCAAACCATTCTGACAGAAATCTGAAACATTTTCTGGATACTAGATGATTCTAGCTGGTTGGCATTTCAGGCAGCCTTCTGGTTATTGGCGATTCATCCATTGGATTTGCCCTTTTGAGAAATCTGTTCAACTTCTCTGTGTTTTTGGGATCATTTGTGCTGTTTTCCCCTGTCTTTTTGCACATACATGTCAGTTGCATTGACATTTCACATATCCAAATTCATCCTTGGCATGCGTGAAGCTGCCCCTTTTGAAATCTCAAGACATTTGTGCCTTGGAGAAACGGAGAGGACGCGGTTTGGGAGGAGAGACTGGGCTTGCACAAAACGAGAAGTGTAACAAGTTCTGGTCTAGAAGCTCAAACCTGACTGTGATATCAGCAGGTTATGAGCCCAAAGCTCTGACCAAAAACACATGATGATGAGACGTAGAGCTACTCAAGAGGAAATCGCACAGGGAGAAGCAGAGATGAGACTGGCAGAGAAACGTATGCAGAAAGAAGCAGAAGAGAGAGGCGAAAAGCCGTTAGAGGATAGCAAGGAAGGTAGCCACAAGGAGGTTTCAGGTGAGGTGAGTGCTCCTCCAATAGCTGATGGGGTTAGAGAAGATTCCAAAGGAAACTCTAGTCCTGACAATACGTCTAGCGCTGCCCCTGGAACAGAAATGAGAAGGCCACCAACCTTGCCACCAGCAGAGCCACCAAAGTTTGCACCTGAGGAATTTGCGTCGCCTGGACTTAGGACTCCAAAGCCGCAGGACCAACAAGACAAAGGAAGTGAGAAGGCTACCATGTCTTCCAAGAAGGAGACCGGTAGTAACTTGGGTCCTGAGGCATTCGAGAACAAGAAGAGCCAGGCGAGAGCGTCTCCAACAGGGGATGGGAAGGGAACAGATAGGAGAGCAGAAAGCTCGGCGTTTCCACCTCTTTTCACCCCTGAGCAGTTGCAACACATGGCTTCATCCACAGTCAAGCACCATGGTTGTATGGCCAACCTCACTCTGCATTCACACCTAGTGTTCAGAGACCTGCCTTTCTGAGTCTTGAAGAGGATAGGAACGGTAGGGAAATGTTCGAAAAAGATCAAATGTTGGAACAGTTGAGAGAACAGCAGCAAAAAGATCAAAGAGAAAGGGATGAGTTGAGAGGGTATCTAGACAAGCTTGCCGCAGAGAACCAAAAGCTGAGAGATGCCCTGAACGAGTTGAAGAAGCCATCAGAAGGAGGAGATTCGAAGTTCTCAACCCCCGAGGAGGCTGCAGACCCCCTGAAGGATGCTGTAGACCCTCAAGGTCAGGCTCAGAGAAAGTCGATGAAAGACAAGGAGGCTGCAGACCCCCAGAAGATTTGGTCAGAAGCTGCTGAAGGACGCATGAGCGAAAGAGACTTGTTTCCATGGAGGAGTAAGGAGGCTGTAGACCCCCAAAGAAGTCAAGAGCGAAAGACAGAAGGAACGAAAGAGTCTCCAGTGGAGGACCGTGGGTCAGGATCTGGTCTGACCGAGAAGTCGCTGGAGTTCATGGCCATCATGGTAGAGTCAATGAAAGAGATGCAAAAGAAGGTCAGTGAGGGGAGAGACGATGCCGGCATGGTGAAGGGCGTAGAGGTGGTGCGAACAGGCATCTTGGAATTGCCGCCACTTCAGCCTTGCAATGCGTCACAAGGCCCACTTCAACTGGGAGACTGGCTGCTGATGGTGGAGCCTGTCGCCGCCGATATGTCTGCAACAAGTGAGGAGTGGTGGCGCGAGATGACAAAATCAGTAGAGGTATGGTATCAGGCGCACATGGCTCTCAATCCGTTGGATCGGATTGTTCACAATGCCACTCCGCCTCCTGGACTTCAACAAGAGCGCTGGCAACGTCTGGAGCGAAGGATGTCAACTATGCTTCTCCATGCTGTGCCAGAATCAGTACGTGATGAGTTGGTTGCTGGCAGAAAGATGGGAGTTTTCTCAATCCTCACACACCTTTTTCTTACATACTGCCCTGGTGGTGTCATGGAAAAGACTATGCTTCTCAGAAATCTTGAAGAACCGCCAGAGGTGGCGAACATAGGGGATGCACCGGCTGCGCTGAGAAAGTGGATGCGATGGAAGGCCAGAACTGCTGAAATAGGTGCAGTGATTCCGGATGCTGCCCTCCTGCTCAAAGGCTTGAACAGACTCACCAAGCGGGTTCTCGATAGCAACCGTGATCTACAATTCAGGATTCAACTTGCGAGGTCGAGCCTTGGAGTCGATACGACTCCTACTGAGTTGTCTGTCAGCAGATTTGCCACACATCTCTTGGCGGAAATAGAGCAAGTTGCGTTGACTGAGAAGCGCACTGGAGGACAGGGTTCAAGACAGGATGCTCCCAAGTTGAAGTCCCTCGACATGGACAAACAGGACAAACAGGACAAAGGAAAAGGTAAAGGGAAAGAAAAGATAGGAGAAGAAGAAAAGGGAAGACCGGCTTGCAAGTTTTATCTTTCAGAAGGAGGCTGCCGAAAAGGTAAGGAGTGCAGCTGGTCACATGATGTGCGAGATGAGAAGAGGCGTTGCTACACCTGTGGTTCGACTCAGCACTTGTCGTCAACATGCACGAGGTCAAGAGGAGGAGCCAGCAGTGATGCTAGCCCTGTGAGACAAAAGACAGCGAAAGGAGAAGAGGAGAAGTCGTCGTCAGCGAAAGACAGCGAAGCGGCGTCCAGCTCTTCTCAGGACGTTTCCATGAAAAACTTGCTGGAAGAGGCGAACAAGATGCTGAGGTCTTTGTCTACAGGAACAGGGTCACAGGCTTCTTCAACCGTGTCTCCAACGAGTCAAGAGGAGTCCAGAGCTGAGGTGGTTGAGAAGTTACAGCAACAGTTGAACTCTCTTCGAATGAAGACTTTGAGGCTTCGGAGGATGAATCAAGGGACACAACAGGGTCTTCTGGACAGCGGGGCATCTCACTGCTTGAGGCCTCGAAAACAAGGAGAAGATGTTCAAGGATATCGGAAAGTAGATGTGGCGCTAGCTGATGGAAACCGGGTTCAGATTCCCATCACACCTGGAGGGACCATGGTCAGTGAAGACCCCTCAGTCGAACCAATTGTGCCGATGGGAGCTTTGATGGAGAAATTGAAATGTGAGGCGACGTGGAAAGAAGGTGAGTTGATTGTGGTTCACCCTTTCCGTGGACGGCTTCCCATCACCTACGACAATGGCTGCCCACAGGTTCCAAGGCAATTGGCCTTGCAGCTCATCGAAGAACTAGAAAATCAGAAGATGGGCATCGGAGAGAAAGCTGAGGATTTTCAAAGAGAATTTCAGTGGATGAAGTCGTTGGTAGAAGCTCATCCGCTGCTGAGGTCATTGCCTCCTTGGATCAAACAAGGGCTTCCATGTGAAGTGGGAGAGTGGGGACAGCTGCCAGCGAACAAAAGAACGAGAAAGCGAATGAAAAGAGATGGCTTTGTTCTTCATCTTTTTGCGGGCTCTGAAGAAGGTCACACCTTGAAGAGAGGCTGGCAACAAGCTGGAGGACAGGATTGGCAGATCTTAGAGGTAGATCAGGTGAGAGGAGAAGGTCAAGACATGCTGGCAACGACTCCATATGGTTCCCTTCTTAGAGCCGCTTTGGAAGGAAAAATAAAGGGCATAGTAGCTGGCCCCAACTGCAGGACACGAAGTGTTCTGAGACATTACCCTATAGAGGGGAATCCACAAGCTCCGCGACCAGTTCGAAGTTGGGGAGGTGGAGAGTTTGGTGCAGAAGGTTTGACTGAAGAGGAGAAGAAGCAGGTACGAGAAGATGACCTGCTGCTGTGGAGGACTATCTTTCTCTACGTGGTGGCCGTTTATGCTGCCAGGGCGAGAGGAGAAAGCATGGACCCAGTGCTCAGTCTGGAGCAACCTGCAAGTCCCAAACAGTACAAGCCAGAGGTGGTCAGCTTTTGGGACACAACGGAGTGGAAGCAGTTGAAAGAGGAGTTCAACCTGAAGGAGTGCACTTTTCAGCAAGGACATCTGGGTGGAAAGACCGCCAAGCCAACAACTTTTGGTGGGTCGCTTGACTTACACCCAGAGGATTACAAGATCAAAGCACCCAAGCATCAAGCCCGGATCAACGACTCGAAGGAACTGTCAAGATGGCCGCCTGCTGTGATGAGAATGCTTGCAGAAGCGCTGATGAGGCAGGTGTATAAGGCCAAGCCGAAGCTGAAACCATTGTCATGGCAGGAACACTTGGCGATGGGTCATGTGCCGTATCGAAGAGATTGTAGGGTATGTCAAGAAACTATGCAACAGTGTGCCCCACATCGAAAGGCAAAGCATGTGGCAGCTGGGGTGCTGTCCATTGACACCGCTGGACCGTTGATTCCAGCGTATGACCAAGGTGGCGGAAAGGCTCGGTACTTCCTGGTTGGAGCTTTGACATGGAGAGTTCCCCGAGGATTTGAGAAGCTGAAGCAACCACCGCACGAGCCTTTAGAGGGTGATGAACCGAAGATAGAGGAAGGCGATGAAGAAGAAGCAGGAGAAGGCTTTGATGAAGAAGATATTGGCGAACTACCGCCATTGGCCGCTGGTGAGCAGGGGTTGGCTGGAGGAGAGCTAGTCCGCCTCCCAGCAGGCCGCGGTGAAGAGGCGGGTGAGCAGGGGTTGGCTAGAGGAGAGCCAGTCCGCCTCCCTGCCCCACCGCAGGGCGAAGAGGCCGGTGAGCAGGGGTTGGCTAGAGGAGAGCCAGTCCGCCTCCCGGCCCCGCCCGAGGAGGAGGAAGAACCAGGGAAGTTGGAGGAGGAAACAGAGCTGAGAGTGTACAGAATGGCACTCCCAATGGTGACAAAGACAGCAAGGGAGGTGAGCGCGACGGCGATGGAGTTCGTCTTGCGCTTGAGAGCTGACGGCTACCACATTGGCCGCATACACTGCGACCGGGGGCACGAGTTTGAGGGTGCCTTCGGAAGATGGGCCAGAAGCCGTGGCATTTACGTCACAAAGACGGCCGGAGACGACCCGCAAGGGAATGGAAGAGCAGAGGTGGCTGTAAAAGCCATAAAAGCCCAAGTGAGAAGGACGTTGAGACAGGCAGAGCTGGACTCATCTCACTGGCCATGGGCGTTGAGGTACGTGGATGAAATCAACAGGTGTGTGCGCCGAGGAACCACGCCTGACTGGCCGAGGTTTCATCAAGAAGTGCGAGTTCGAAAGCGCACCTGGAGGAGAGGTGCCTTCGAGCCAGTGGTGGAGCGTGTCCACTATCTCTGTCCGTCAATTGAAGACCATGGACATTGGGTACAAAAGCCAGGAGAGCCACCACGAGTTACAAAGTATGTCATGCAGCAAACGACAGAGCCAGTGGACAACTCAGTGTGGGTCGCCCTGGAAAAGACTATTCCCGACGCTTGGAGCGTGAGGAGAAGATTGAGAGGAAAGACAGCAGTAAGAAAGCTGCATCGGTCTCTTCGAGAAGAGAAGGAAGATGAGGCCGAAGACAAGAGAAAGGAGGAGGTGCAGAGGATCCATCAGGTCATAGAAGAAGAAATGAGGTTGATTGTAGAAGAAGAGCCACAGATCGCGGCCGACATGATGCGCATCATTGGAAGCCTGAAAAATATGGCAACTGGAGATGATGCGACTGAAGAAGTACTTCAGACCAAGATCGTCTCACCGAAGGAAGTTGCTCGCTGTTGGAGCGAGTGGCTTGAGGCGATAGACAGCGAGGTGAAATCGCTGACGGAGGAGAAAGAAGCACTTCGTCAGCTCACAAAGGAAGAGCATGAAAAGATGAAGGTAGAAGCAGAAAAAAGAGGCAGGAAAGTTGAGTACCTGCCTTCAAAAGTGGTATTCACCTTGAAGCCGTCACCAGGTGGCGGAAAACGAAAGGCGAGATGGGTTGTCTGCGGAAACTTTGAAGAAAAGAGAGAAAATGAGGAGACATATTCAGGGGGAGCAGACGCCACTGCCTTCAGAGTTCTGGTGTGGGTAGCCTCAAAGTTTGATTGGGTGGGCTGCATCATCGACATCAAAACCGCGTTTTTGAACGCCGAAATGGAGGTCACTGAAGATGAGAATGACCTCCTGATTTTGCCCCCTTCAATCATGACAGAAAAAGGATATCTGCCCAGAAACACAGTCTACAAGCCACTGAAGGCGGTGTATGGATTCCGCCGATCGCCTCGTCTGTGGGGAAACCACAGAGACAAAGTCATGAGAGGTTTGCAGATCAAAGTTCAGAGAGGAGAAAGTGAAGTTGAAGTCTGCTTGGTTCAGCTGGAGTCAGAGCCGAATCTATGGAAGGTGATCCCAATCGAGGGGGAGGACGATATGAGAGAGGCATCCCTGTCAAATCACAAGGTGCTCGGGTTGGTGATGACCTATGTGGATGACATCTGTGTCGTTGGTGAAGACGCAGTGGTGTCGTCACTGATCGAGGCACTTCGGTCAACGTGGACCACATCAGAGCCAGAATGGATTGGTGAAACTGCAGTGAGGTTTTTGGGCATGGAGGTGGTGAAGTTACAGAATGAAAGTGGGAGCCGCTGGTTCATCACACAGGAGTCCTACATCAGAGACCTCTTGTCCAGATACGAAAGTGAGGAGACAGTCAGAGAAAGAAGGACTCCAATCACTCGAGACCAATCCATAATGGAAGAAGATCCAGAAACTCCTGCCTTGCATCAAGTCAGGAGGTGTCAAAAAGAGGTAGGAGAGTTGCTGTGGCTGGTCACGCGAACCCGTCCAGACTTGATGTTCAGTGTCGCAAGAATGGGAGCCAATGTCACCAAGGCTACCAAGTCTGTTTTGGAAACAGCGTCTCCGACGAGAGGCTATTTGAAGAGGACGGTGGTTGAAGGACTGATGATGGGAGAACAAAAAGAAAGAGAAGTCTGCATCCAAGCTTTTGCAGACGCATCGTTTTCTCCAGATGGAGAGGAGTCACATGGAAGTTACGTTGTGTTTGCCAACGACAGTCCCCTTTTTTGGAGAAGCGGCAGGCAGACAACCGTGACGTTGTCCACAGCCGAGTCTGAACTGACAGAGCTAGTAGAGGCAATCAGCGCTGGCGAAGCTGTGGCGGTGATAGTGAGCGAATTGTTCCAGGATATCAAGAAGTTTGCCTGGTCAGATAGCCAATCAGCTTTAGCTATCTTGGTTAATGAAGGTGGAAACTGGCGCACTAGGCACTTGAGGATGAGAGCTGCCTACACCAGACAGGCAGTCCACTCTGGTGAGTGGGGTGTGGGCCACCTTCCTGGTGATCGAATGGTCGCCGACATTGGCACAAAGGCATTGGCATCACAGCGGATCGATGTCCTCAAGCAGCATCTTGGCATGTCATCCATCCCAATGCAGCCCAGTGTGATCGCACCTGCGACCTCTGTGGCAGCATTGAAGCCCAGTGTGATCGCTCATGCGACCTCTGAGGATACAAGAAAAGGGATGGATGGTGCGAAGATGTCACAAGCGGCAACGGCCTTGAAGCTCATCACGTTGGCCGCTATGATTTCAGCTGGAAAGAGTCAGGAGGAAGAAGATATGGAAGAAGGACAGAAAGAATTACAGCTCATCATGGCAGCATTTGCCATCCTGGTGGTCTTGATCACTCTTGTGGCCCAACATGTGTGGAAGGTAGGAGTAGGATTGTGGAATCGGGGAAACGAACAGATTCCCGAAAAGCAGATCCGAAGTCTCCCTGCGCAAGAAGGTCGAAGGAGTGATCAGACGGCCGATCAAAGAAAAGCGGGTAGCGCTGATGGTGAGAAGGGGTTGGCTGAACGAGAGCCAGTCCGCCTCCCATCAGGGGACAGGGAGAAGGCTTTGCAGCCCTCCCTGCTGGGTGAGAAGGGGTTGGCTAGAGGAGAGCCAGTCCGCCTCCCCGGCCCTGAGGCGACATCGTCTGGTCTCTCAGGTGGTCCCGGCCCCGCAGAAAAAGAAAGAAAGAGCGGTCAAAAGGCCGGCCAACGAAAGGCAGGTTGCGCTGATGGTGAGAAGGGGTTGGCTAGAGGAGAGCCAGTCCGCCTCCCATCAGGGGGCAGGGAGAAGGCTTTGCAGCCCTCCCCATCGGGTGAGAAGGGGTTGGCTAGAGGAAAGCCAGTCCGCCTCCCCGGCCAGGAGGAAGCGTCGTCTAGCTCCTCTGGCGGCCCCGGCCCTGCACAAGAAAGCCTTGAAAAAAGAATCGAAAGAGAACTGGAAAAGATCAAAGAAGAAGAGACAGAATTGTGGCGTCAGGCCAGTTTAGCTCCGCTACCACCAGTTCTGATTGAACCGGTAGAAGAGAGTGAAGAAGAAGGTCTTCGATTTCCAGTCATGAGAACGAAGTATGGATCAGTATATCACAGTGCCCTCACTTGCAAACATCTCCAAGGAGCCAAAGTCAACTTGCCTCGAACCTTCAAATGGTGCCAAGTTTGCAGAGGGGTGGCGCTCAGAACACGAGGGCGTCCACCACCAGGAACGAATCTTTTGTTGTCAGCTCATGGAAACGCAATCCATACTGACGATCGATGCCCTTGGGTCAAAGATGCGAAGCCAACACCATTTTGTTTGACTTGCAAAGAGCGTGAGAGGGGCTAGTTTGAGTCAGGAAATTGGAAATCCCTGACGGAATTCCAAAGGGGGAGTGCTGTTTTCCCCTGTCTTTTTGCACATACATGTCAGTTGCATTGACATTTCACATATCCAAATTCATCCTTGGCATGCGTGAAGCTGCCCCTTTTGAAATCTCAAGACATTTGTGCCTTGGAGAAACGGAGAGGACGCGGTTTGGGAGGAGAGACTGGGCTTGCACAAAACGAGAAGTGTAACAAGTTCTGGTCTAGAAGCTCAAACCTGACTGTGATATCAGCAATTTGGATCATTTCACCACCTGCGGATGTTACTAACCATAATTAAGCAACCAAATTGGAAACTCTATAAGATCTATACTTTGGATTATTTGGATTATTTGGATTATTTGGATGATTTCACCCTCAATCTTCCCACATACTCTCTAATAATCCACAATGTGCATTGAAAATCATCATGTTCAATTTCTGAAATGATGTATATACCCCACTTTCAGACACCCATCTGGTTTCTTCAAATTGCCACCCCAAATCATCCAAGTCGAACCATGTGGACACTGGCATGACCATGGAAACCGCCTCCACCGTTGCGGCCACAACCTCATCCGGCTCCAAGGGCCCCGCGGGCTCCACCACGCTGCGGCGCACCACGGAGCTCCGGCCCGTGCTCGGCTCGTGCTCCAGGGTGAAGCGGACCTGAAGGATGTGAATTGCACCATGTCCCTATTGTAGTATATATCTATATTATACATATTATATATATATATGATATATATATATGTGTATCTGATATGTATATCTGATATATATATATGTATCTATAAATATCTATCTGTATATCTATATATGATTATATAATATATATATATATACACGTATCTATTGGGTCAATGATGAATGTGATTGTTTGTTGATTGGTTGATGCTTGGTTGATCTACGGATCGTTTTTGGTCATCCATTAGGGGATGATCGGAATCCATTACGGTAGCGTTGGTTAAGAACGGATTCTGACAATCCCGAATATCAAGGGTAGTAAAAAAACAACCCGCAAACTAATCATCAACCAAAGGTTTCCCATTTTTGGGATGGTATCCCACTAAAGTCATAGAGGTGGTTGCCATGTTTTCTGTCCCGCCGAGTTGGATCGGTCCGGGTCCCAGGCCACTCCCCAGCCCGGGTCCCAGGCCACTCCGCAGCTCTGCTGGGACCGAAAGAACTGCAACTGCAAGGTGAGCGGTTCCAGCTGGGCACTTTCCCCATAGCGGTGGACGATCTTGGCAGAGACCTTATGGCCCTGCACGTGGTGCGGCGTCAGCTGGAAATGGCGTACTTGCAAGAAATGACCCAAAACCTGTGGTTTGGTTCGTATAAAATTTCAATCTTGACCCCAATCACAGTGTTCAAATCTGCAGTGGCCCAACCTCAACCAGCACTTCTGAAGCAGAGTGAACGGGGCTTGGCAACGCAGCTTGCTGAGTGGACACCTCCTGCCATGGTTTCATGCGCCAAAACACAGGCTCCAACACGGCCATGGTCAAAGTCATGTGGTTTCTGGCTCTTGTCTGGCCATGGCTCAAAATTGTTGACCCCCAAAAATTGGATGTTTGTAAAAATGATTTATGTCAATTGGTAGCCCATTTGTGAGCCATGACCAAATGGATATGGATTCAAAAGCCCATGATGATGCTCCCCACAAAGGATGGTCCCATAAGTCTTGAGCTTTGCAAACTGTTCTTAGTTTGCTCATCTTGATCATCATACCCCAAACGTCATTCCGGATACCTGTTGCATACGAACAAAAGCATCCCAAATTCAGAGCAGGGCTTTGTAGCACCGGTACTGGAAAAAATGAGGGGGCCTCATTACTCAGTTCTCACAGACAGCACGCAAAGGCATAGTGGACTACGTGTCTCAAGTATACAGAAAAGCAAGTACATAAAATCATTTACCCACTGCACTTGGCCATTTATTGATACTCAATTTGCATGGACAAAGTGTTCCCTCTTGGCACCCCGCGAAACACCCTGCGAAACGTCCTTGGTGTAAGCCCGGAAACGCCGGCAGAAAGAGGTTTGTTCACCTGGGCGGCAACCGTCTTCCGGTGGCTGGTTGATCTGGTTGATCTGCTTACCATGGAGATGTTTCTATCATCAACCTGGCGATAAACCTTCGACATTCAGTCCATCAACAGGATTATGGAGTATAGTCCCCACAAGAATCATCATCCAACTGTCTTTTCATGGAGTATACATATTGTACGTACGTGTGTGTGTATATATAGCATCCGTCATGTTCCGCAATACAATCTGATCACCAGGGGACGGGCCAAATTATCCATTCATCCAATGATTCTTCCACGTCACAAGTGCGGAACTTACTTTGGTCCACCGCTAGCACCAGAATGGGCCAAATCAGCCACAGTAGCAGTGCCATGGCAAAGTCAAGCCCCAGGGAACCTATCTTTGTGTATATTATGTGTATTATCTATATATAGCGATATATATATATATGTAGAAAGAGAGAGAGAGAGAGAGAAATAAAGAAAGAAAGAAAGAAAGAGAGTTCATTCATATATGTGGTTATTTGATGCTTTATTCATTAATATAGTTATCAGTTATCTGAAAATTTTATGACATACAATATATAATTATAGAAATAGTACATGTATGTACATTTTTCTCTTTTCTTCATGTAGAAAAAGAAAAAACGTGAAGGGTCTTGAGTCTTTCCAAAATGGACCCAAAACGGCTTGGAATGGTTAAAGACTTAAAGACTTAAAGACTTAAAGACCTGGTTTTGTCCAAGATCTCCTTTTCCGGGTAGCTTTGACCCAGCAGCCTTGAGCCTCAAGGCCCTGCCGTGGAGGATGTGTCTGCCATGACTTCCTGCCGTTCCACCTGCTGCACCCTGGCCACTGCACCTGGGCACCCAAGGAGTGTGCCACCACCACGGTGGGTTGTCCTGTCAATCACCAGGAATTCAGGGCTGGGTTGCTATGGAGAGATGACGGATGCGATTAAGGATATCTTGGGATATGTGGGGGGAAATTATGCGAAATTAACATCATTTTGAGAATTGCAAGCAATCAGCTGCGCTTTTGCAGAGTCGGCTTTTTCGCATACAATCCACACCACCCCAGCGGTCTTGACACTTTCACGGCTAATTCCAGTTGCTCTTTGAACTTGGGCACAAGTCGCGCGATGTAGATCACGTCACCCCATCTGGCGCACGTGGGCCGAAATGGGTCATCTTTGATGATGGGGAAGAAGACAAACCCCAAGATTTTTTGTTCGATTTAGTGGCTGACGAAACTCGGCTTCCGCACCTTCTCCAATCCTGGGTCGGTTGGGCTGCCCTTTCCAACGAGCTGGGTGGTGGCTGCGTTCCCAGTTCGTGGATCATAGTCTAATTGGGGGTTTCCTAAAATAGGGGTACCCTAAATCATCCAAAATTAGACCATTTCATTTTACTATTGAAACCCATGGGTTTGGGGACCCCCCATTTTGGGAAACCTCCAATTGGTCTAATGTTGATCTAATCCCTATTAAACATCATTAACCCACTGAGTTTCAACATCTCCAATGACATTGGGACAACACCCTGCCATCAGCGCTTCGGAGCCAGAACTGCGTTTCGTCCAAGGTGCGTAGTTGAACGCCTCGGAAGCATGCTGCGTAGTAACAGCATATCCAAAAAGTGGCATTTTTGCTGTGGGTCAACACCCTGGTAGACTGTAGTTCACAGCAAAATTGCTATTATTTGTGGATGTTCATCACCCCAAAACTCATGGGATAAACTGATAAACTCATGGTTCTCACCAATCCACGCAGATGTTTTTCTGTTGATCCAAAAGCCTAGTGACCTGCTCATAATATGAACCATAGGCCATAGGTGTTCATCCCCATAGGATACTTGCCTATTTTCGTACATGTTTCTTGGCTATGCCAATATGCTACTTCTAGATATGTTGTAAATATATTTGTACATGCTTGTGATATCTTGTGATGTGTTTGTAGTGAAGATAACCTGTATACCCATTAGCTAATCAAGCGTTTGTCTCAAGCAGAGAAGTTTTTATGGTCCGGCAACCTGTCAGACCCCCTCCCAGCGTATTTCCCTTACCGTCCCGGGCACCAGAAGATTGTACTCTGACCTCGGTGGCTTTTTTCACATGTTCCCATCGGATGTCGTTAAAGGCGAAAAGGGGAAACACTCTACAGGAACCCCCAAAGTTATGATGGTCGTTGGTTAATATTGTTATATCAGTGTTGTATGATTGCTATGATTATCATTAGTTACATTGGATGGACAAAACCCCTCAGTTTGTCAATCCCAATGCTCCATGACGCTGGGATCACTGGCAGGTGCTCAATGACGTTGTGCCAGAGATACACCGGAGCGACTTCCTTAGGGTGGCCAACACAGCATCGGACAGTTGGCAAATGTGAATAATATACGTATGTGTATATATATATATATACAATACAACTATGTATATAGAGTAATACACATAACTATCTATATATATATATATTGACTATAAATTATATATATAACATTACAACTCTACATATTGTAGTTATATATATATATATATTTATTATACACATAAGATACATATTATAACGATGTTTTTCTGCGAACTTCAGCATTTCTACATAATTCATGATTCACTGTGAAATCTGATTTCGCTAAGCAGCAGATTCGATTCCAGGATTCAAAGTTCGGATGCCATCCAAACCTTCCACTGGATAGACCTGGCGGGCTCGGAGCATCTTCCCATGTAGATGTCATGTCTGTGGTGAAAAAATACCAAGCATTGCTGAGATGTACCTACCCAATCCTACCCATACGTAAGCGGAGAAAAACAAAAACACAGCAGTCGTCTACAGATGTTTCCCAGAACCTGGTGCGAATGACTTCCCAACCCCTTCGGTACCTTTGAATTTTCATAGCCTGCGGCTGTCTTGAAGGTCCTTTGCCCTTCATTGCCATCCTGCAAAAGTTGCTGTCAGGGTCAGTGCTTCCCATTATCAATGCACACAATACTGCACAAGTTTTTTTTAAAGGGAATGTAATATAGTAAGCCTAGGATTGAACAATAAATGAATAAATAAAAACCATGCCCGATTTGGGTGAACTGGGAAATTCATGGAGTTTCCAGCAGTCGTCCGCGTGATACCAGGCCCTCACGCCTCGTGTCTTCTTGCAGCTGCTGGTTCCCAGTTCAGCGCCAAGGACTTGACGATGTGAGGCCGCTTGGCCAGCTCCTGAATGCTGACATAGAGCAAGCGTTCATCCGCATCCTCGGGTGCGGCTTCGGCAAAATAGCTGGCATATAAATGATGATATATATATATATATATATATGTACATATACATATACATACATAAATATATATATATACATATACATTGTCATACTATATCATAAATGTATCATAGGTGTTCTTCATGATTCATCACCCAAATAACTTGACCACAGCGCGGCCCCCCAACAGGGCCCCCCTGCCAGATCGCAATAATCGCAGAGGAAGCCAGCACTACCTGCGTTTGTCCCGCCGTTGGATCCCATGTTCAAACCCCAAAGATCATAATTGATTGTTGTGTAACTGCATCCCCAGTGTATCCGCATTGGAAATTATAACAATTATATACAATACTACAATACTCCATCTTCTCAAAAAATATTCACCACATGGTGAATAATAAGCCCTGGTTATATGGCAGTGTGTCAAAACCAATAGTACCCCTGTAGTTCACATCAAAATAGCTGGGATTTATGGATGTTCATTCCCCTAAAAATGGTATTAATAGGTATTGATCCATAGCCATATCACCAAGTTTTCCTCCCATGGTTCCCCGCCCGTACCTGAGGTTTTCCCCCGGAGGGCGCAGGATGCAAGGCCATGAATCAGGATCACCGTCTTCCTGGCGGATCCCCTGTAAATATCTATGATCAAATGAGATGTATAAAACATTATACAGTATATATACATATATAACACATAATATATATATACTGTATGATTATGATTATTATATTATATTTATATATACTCTATAAGTATTATTGTGATTATTGTATATTATATATTAATAGGTGTGTGTGTGTATATGTGCAGATCTGATATGTACTGTAATACACGTATATAATATAGTCTATACGTGCAGATATGCACATTTCACCCCCAAGCCTTCAACAGAAAAAGTGCTGAGGCTCCCGGCACACCATCTTCCAACTCATGCAAGTCCTTGTTGGTGTCCTCGCTTGAAAACTCCGTTTGGTTGATAATCTTGTGATCTAATGGGGTTACATACATACCAAAGATATGGGGAGATTTCATTGAAGAATTTGTTGATGATTGATGTGGGGTTGTACTATCCGATATATCAAAATATACCAATATATTGAGCAATACACAGAGAGAGAGAGAGATTCAATTATTGCTCTTCATATATATAATATATATATATACACATAGAGAGAGAGAGAGAGATTAATGTATGTATCTATTCATTCATTCCTTTTGGGCTGGAATTCTCATCATCCAACTGGATTTGGCCATCCTACCAGATTCATCTACCCGATGGGGCCACGTTTTGAAAGAGTCTTGTCGTGTATGTCATCGGTACCGTTGTCACCGTTGTCGTTGTTGTTATATATGATAGTTATGATTACAATCCTCTGGAAAATACTCGGTACTGTACTGTACATAGCTGCGAGCTCCTCTATCAACATCCGAAAAATACCTCCCTTGTTATCAGCACCTGATGTTCCTCCCATGGCGTGGATGTTGCTGTACCCATGCTACCACTGGATCGCGGCTAATTAGTTGAGAGCATGTCGCAACTTGGGCCAAGTGCCGAGTTTTCGCAGGCAGCTTGCAACATCAACTATCTTGTCATGGCATAATAAGAATAACAATAACAATAATAATGATAGCAATAATAATAGCAATGATAATACAACAAAAATAGCGATAATAATAATAATAATTGCTCAATAATAATTCAAAATAGCAATGGATGAACAATGGACGATGGATGAATCATGAATACATATGAATACAGTAGCAGATGAACCACAAGGTATCCCATGCATCGCTCCCTTGCAGTCACTCCACAGCAAAGGAGCACATTTTATCACCAGCACTGAATCACCCAACTTTTTCATATCCAAGCTGTGCACAAACTACTGAGTGCCACTGCTCTCAATGTCCAACTGGTTACATTCACAGCCAGGGTTTTTGTGTGTCAGGATGGTTCCTGTACCTGTGGGAAACCTGGGGAAACTGCCCGATCCCGCCACGCGGCCCTGCTCATCTTGCCGCCATCTGAGCGTCACCTGCTGCGGTAACGGCCTTTGGCCAACCGGGGATTGCAGCAGTAAACCCAAGAGTAAACCTAAACTTACCATTTGGATCGTATATACAACTACAACCCATTTCTGGTCATATTGAGGATGGTTTAAGGTTTTGGGTTCTCACACTAGTGCCGGTCCAGTATCTTCAAAGTGGATGTGCGACCAAAACAGTCTGCTTCCAATACATTTTCCTTTGAATATCATAGGCAGTCCAACTTTCTGCATTCAGAAATTCACCCCATCAACAAACATGTGATTTGCTCCAACTCCGAGAAAAATGAAAGTTCTCCACACAGAACCTGGCAGTTTCATTGCGAAAAAAATTGGATTCCCAAAGAAATCAACCATTCTCCCATTCTTATTCCATTCTTATTCCAAAACATCCAACGAGACTCGGCGCCTCAGCGAACAGCGGCGCCACGACGCCTTGTGCGTCTGCGCCTCGCGAGCTCCACCTTGGCCGATTTGTCTGCCCACATTGCCAATGGGTATCCAGTGTGTCAAAATGTGTGAAAATGGAAGATCAATCAATCCCACCTTCGAGTCTTATGATTTTGTTTTTTTACCGCAAAGCACATGTTCTTTGAGCGGAAAAACAACTGTTTCCGAAGCGTCCCGAAAATTTGGAAAAAATCTGCCTGATCTTTGAAACATCGGAAATTTGCCCTGGATCACTCGGAAACCCTTTAGAATCAAGAATCTATAGTCACGCTGGAGGAATTGGCCACACTTCCCCACACGCTCCGCATTTTGTCGCTGTCATGGTCCTCACAACTACTCTGCTGGAACGCCAAAGACGCGAGTTCGCAGGTCACCTCAACTCTGAAAGTTATTACTTTCTTTGGCACAGACTAATCCCACATAGCAACTATACCAACCCATGGTTTAGCCCATATTGGCCCATGGTTTCTGAACTTTCGTCCGCTGTGTTTCGGAAAGCGCTTCCTTCTCTGGTCGATGTCACACGCCCACCCGGCCGAGCCTGGCAGAGTGCCCGGTACATGTCGACCCAAAAAAGGACAGCCTCTTGAAGTGCAGATAGTATGCATATGTATAGTATATAGATATGTGTATATATAGGATTGTATCGGTATGTTACATTATGTCAATGCAGTAATTATATACTGTATATATAATTTTACGATATATATATATATATACACATAGTCGAGATTTGCCACGTGAACAACGCGCGCCTCATGGCTTCCAGCACCGCCTGAGCGCGGGCCTTGGCCAAGGAACTCCTCAAGTTGGACAGCACCAGCTGCACGTCCACGTCCTTGTGGGTTACCCGGCGAGGCACCAGGATGAAACCAGCAAAAAGTCACCAAAAAAAACACAGGGGTTCTCCAAAGTTCGGAAATTGACCAGCAATTTTATGGAGAAGACTTGACGGAGATTCTAGATTCTAGATGTGTCCAGAAATATGGGGTTTATACGAACCAGCTGAGATAAATCTAATGGGTGATATGATGTAAATGGATATGCATTGGATGGATCAGCAACAATACGGGTTCCGTTATCCAAAAATGCCGGATTTACCCCCAGATTATGTCCATCAAATAATGAGAAAATGATGGTTTGAACATGTTTGAACCATGGAAGTGAATGAGGTACCATATTTTCAGGCAAACCCATTGGTTAGGGATGGTATCATTTTGGGGGGAGCGCCTAATAGCACTGGTGGATTCTTCTCATGGACTCTTGAAAACTTCGATGGCACCCCTTCTGAAAAGTGATTGAGGCTCAACCTGCACTCTCACATGCATCTTTGCCTTGTTCATGTTTCTTCGGTCATCCCATCAGTACCCAATCTTCAGGATTCTAATTCATCATGATTCATCAATGTTTCTTCATCATGCATTGTTTATCAGCAGCAATACAAGTCATAATCTGGTTGGTGGTATACCTACCCCCCTGAAAAATATGAAAGTCAGATTGGATCATGATCCCAACCATTGGGGAAAATAAAATTCATGTTCCAAACCACCAACCAGCAAGTCATACCCTCTGGTAATTTAACATAGCTATTGAAAATGACCATTTATAGTGAGTTTTCCCATTAAAAATGGTGATTTTCCATAGTTATGGGACAGTTTACCAGAGGGTAATCAATATCATCCCAGTTCTCCCAGTTCTCCCAGTTGCATCGCGCCTCTCGGGGTTGCAACTGCAGAGGCATTGCTGCAGGGAAGATCCTGGAGTGAGGCCGACCCACCTCGCTTCCCACCCGATGGGGTTGAAACAGAAAGTATTTCCACCCAACGACTAGTGTACACCTCAAATAAAGGCCGTTGCTCATATATGTGCTGTGCACGTCTTCGTCTTCGTCTTCGTCTTCTTCTTCTTCTTCTTCTTCTTCTTCTTCTTCTTCTTCTTCTTCTTTCTCTTCTTCTTCTTCTTCTCTCTTCTTCTTCTTCTTCTTAGCCCACACTGGTCAGATTACTTCAATAGATCAGACAATTTTCCTATTTCAACATTCTAGCATTCCTTCATGATGGAACCTAAACCGAACTGCATATTCCAGAGAACCTCATCCACTGGCAGCCAAAACACACATCCTATATCTTTATATAGATGGGATTGTGCACCATAAATTACCATCCAAAAATACCAGCATCCCCAAAATCCCATGAATATCCCATTGGAGTCCACTGACACCTCATAAAACCCATTTGAAGCTACTGAAACACATAAAAACCAACAAAACCGATTAAGATCCAAAAAATTCTTCGCCATCGCCAGTCTCTGGGCACACGGACTGGGAGGCACGTGTCACGTTGCCCAGGACCACTGCAATGTTGGCCTTCACAAGTTCCACATCCCCAAGGACTGACGTTCAGGTTGAACGGGTCATGAAAACATACGGAAACTGTATAAATAGTGGACATGTATATGTGAAATTATGTGAAACTGTACATGTTTGGGGGTCCTTTATTTGGTGGAGAAACATCCACCTAGAAAAAATTTAAATGTGCCATGGCCAAGGTACGTGGTAAGGGAATCCTTTTCGGGAACTTCTGTCAAAATTTGGTTTCAGCACAGGAATTGCTGAAATCTGAATGATTCATTTACCGAAATCCCAAACATCCGCCGCCATCCAAATTCTGCCGAAATAGGGTTGTCATGGGCTGTCCCAAAACTGAGTCCGGGCAATTCCGCCGAAATCTTTGGCAATTCCACCAGAATCTCGGGCAATTCTGCCCAAATCTCGGGCAATTCTGCCGAAATTGGCTTCCATTGGAATTCCGTCGAAAGCCGTTATTGAAAGCTGAACCTAAAAATTCTGCCGAAATTCCAAAACGGCAAAAATGTTCGTACATTTGGAGTCCGCAGAATTTATGGTCATCGCATCATTTTTAGGAATTCGAAGCATAATTGGCATATTCACCCCTATTGATGGATTGACAACGAGCCCCAATTAGAATGGGTTAATCCAACCTTTCATTCTAGTTGGTTATACCACGAAATCCCCATCTTTAATGCATCTAAATCCATCGAAATCGTCATTTTCCCAAAACCTAGCCAGAACTTGTGGGGATATTGAGGCTTAATCAGCTTAATCCATCTTTGATGAAACATGGTGAAATTCCAGCTATCTGAAAGGGGATGCTTCGTCCGAAAAACAGATGTGAAAAGGTCGATGAAGATTCAGATTTAGGATGATGGCACTGTGGGATATTACCCTTAGATATTCTGAAATACTACCCTTTGTATATCAAAGATTGTCAGAATATAGATTATATAATGTGGGATTCACCTAATACATCCTAATACCATAAACATCCATAAACAATCACCATTTGGGGATGGTTATACCACCCTTTGATGGTCATATTGAAACTTATCCAATCCCAACTGGCTCAAAATTTCACACTGCGGCCTCAGTCATCCTGGAAAGCTTTGTGTGGTCGTTCACCACATGCAAATCGCAGAACAGTGCCTGGAAGCCAACATAAGCCAACCACCCTACGAAACAGCTACGACTGCAGTTTGGAGCTAGGACTGTCTCTCACCCCAAATCTATCGAATCTAAATCTAATCTATCTAATTCAATCAAAATATTGCAAAGGGGTTTTCAATCTATGTATCCAGAGCTTAGCAGCAAGAGCGTAGCGAGAGCGTAGCGGGACATTGCCGGACAAAGTCCGGAGTGCGGAAGAATCACTTGGAAACCCATGGAAACCCTATCATTTCGCACATGGAGAGCTGGTTGCGGGGCTGGGCCTCATCACATGCCTTCTGAACGGCATGCAGTAGCCGATTCTCACTCAACTCTGAGATCACCTGGCCAACTTGTGGTGCAATCACCTGGTGGAACTGTCAAATGAGCGTTACAAACACATACCCTCTGGTAAACTGTCCCATAACTTTGGAAAATCACCATTTTTAATGGGAAAACTCACTATAAATGGCCATGTTCAATGCCTATGTTAAATTACCAGAGGGTACAAACACCACAAAACATCCCAGCCCGAGTCCTGTACCAAATATGATGTCCAGCAAATACACATATTTGCAGCTCATTTGCCTCGTGGGATCCACTCGGCGGGATATACAGCCTTGGTCGAAAGGATTGCAAAACTTCCAGTGAACCCTGGGTCCATGATCCTCACAAGAAAATGGATAAAATGGCTTATTTCTCTGCAACATAATTGACCACACGGCAAAAAAAAAGAAGTGAGCTAACCGTAGGGGTTTTTGAAAAAATGCTGAACTTGGTGTATGGATGTTGACCAACCGGTCAATGACGTCGGATCTGGCACTTCATCAATCCACTGGCCAAGCAACACCCCAAGTCGCTCACTGAGGGTCAGCGGCCTGAAGCGTCAGCCGCTGTCAGGGTTGATACCTTGAAATACCACAGATCTCATGCATTTCACCAGAAATGTGTGAAAATGTCAAAAAGTTGTTCTTATCAAACAAAAAATCAGAAAACATGGCTACCACCCAATGATTGCCCCATGGATCAACAGGGTGGATCTGAAAATCACGGCCGCGGACCTCTCGTCATCTGTTACGCCCTTGCCGGGAAAAAACTGCCGACTGTGGGTGCTGTGGTTCCCCTTGGGATGTCGGTTTTGCTGGATCTCCAGAGTACCCCGAAACAGACATCCAAATTCGGCAAATTCGGTATTTCATTGCTATGGCTGCTATGGCCTGTATGGACCTGGATTTTTTAGATCGGACTTGTGATTTTCAGATCGGAAAATGACTCAGATATGGCTGTCATGACTTTTCCAGCGCTCCGTGACAGGGTCTAGGTCCCGGTCCCAGTGTGTCCAACCATTTGGAACTCTAGTCTTTGGAACAACCAAATTAAATCATAGTTCAAAATTGGCAAGTTTCAAGTCGTATGCCAATAAACAGTTGGTTCTTTTTTTATTGGTGCTCTTCACAATGGATCTTTATGATGCAATATGACAAGAATCTCTTCGGAATACATCAAAGATATCACCCCATATTGTCCCATCATACAATCATATACCCATTATATACCCATTATATATCCATTATATACCCATTATATATATACCCATTGTATAGCCAATATATAGCCATTAAATAGCCATTGTATACCCATCATATACCCATTATATATCCATTAAGTAGCCACTGTATAGCCAATAGATATCCTCCGGAAGAATTACTAGTGATCTCACCTCTGCATAGCCGGTGCCTCGCTGGTTTTCTCTGGAGCCGCTTTGCGCTGGACCAGGCAACCGGATGTTGCATGCTCTGTGTTCGCCAACGAAAGCCAAAGGAGAGTTCCAAAGGCCTCAGATGGCTGTCTCTAAAAATAAGGTATCCCAAGAATTTGATGGTTTTTCATCATGTTATCATATGTTATGTATCCTCATGTTTCAGACGCGTCCAGATCTTGTAGAAAATCCAGAAAATGAATTGTACAGAAGAGGTAAGAGGTGCAAAGTTTTGATGTCAGCATTGAAGGCTGACAGAAACCACTTGGTTGAGGGTTGGTGGTGTGCAAGGAAGAATGTCTGCAAGTAGGCAAAGCCAAGGAGGCAAAATCAGGCGAGATGACCAAAACAGGAGACCACATCATCTTTCGAAATCCTGTCCCTAAGCGCGTTGAATTCGTTTAAGGCTTAGTTTATCGGAACATCTGCGGGAAACCCTGCCAAATGCGGCTGGGAAAACTACACAATGTTTTTTTTGCAGAATTCCCTTGGCTATACATATACATATATATATACATACCACTATACATACATATATATATATATGGAAAAGCAGCTTCAGCAGGGATCATCACCTCTGGTCCAAGTGGCTGTCAGTCTCCCAATGGTAAGGTGTGCCATGCGGGATCCCAGGGCCACTCCGAGCCCGACATGGCTGCGCGGGCTGCATCATGGCCAACCGGAATCAGAGAGCCAGGGGACCAACTGCCATGCTTCACAAGTGGCTATTTCTGGTTGGTAAGTTGGTATTGTTATTACTAATTTTTGTTTAGCAGTAGCAGTAGTAGTAGTCGTCGTAGTAGTCGTAGTAATAGTCGTAGTAGTAATCGTAGTCGTAGTAGTAGTCGTAGTAGTAGTCGTAGTCGTAGTCGTAGGTCGTAGGTAGTATGTAGTAGCTAAACTAGTAGTACTAGTAGTAGTACTAGTAGTAGTACTAGTAGTAGTACTAGTAGTAGTACTAGTAGTAGTACTAGTAGTAGTACTAGTAGTAGTACTAGTAGTAGTAGTACTAGTAGTAGTAGTACTAGTAGTAGTACTAGTAGTAGTACTAGTAGTAGTACTAGTAGTAGTACTAGTAGTAGTACTAGTAGTAGTACTAGTAGTAGTACTAGTAGTAGTACTAGTAGTAGTGGTAGTAGTAGTGGTAGTAGTAGTACTAGTAGTAGTACTAGTAGTAGTGGTAGTAGTAGTGGTAGTACTAGTAGTAGTACTAGTAGTAGTACTAGTAGTAGTACTAGTAGTAGTACTAGTAGTAGTACTAGTAGTAGTACTAGTAGTAGTACTAGTAGTAGTACTAGTAGTAGTAGTACTAGTAGTAGTACTAGTAGTAGTACTAGTAGTAGTACTAGTAGTAGTACTAGTAGTAGTACTACTAGTAATAGTAGTACTAGTAGTACTAGTAGTAGTAGTAGTACTAGTAGTACTAGTAGTAGTAGTAGTAGTACTAGTACTAGTACTAGTACTAGTACTAGTACTAGTACTAGTACTAGTACTAGTAGTAGTACTAGTAGTAGTACTAGTAGTAGTAGCAGCAGCTGCAGTAGTAGTAGTAGTAGCAGCAGCAGTAGGAGTAGGAGTAGGTAGTAGGTAGTAGTTTGTAGTTTGTAGTTTGTAGTTCGTAGCTAGTAGCTAGTAGCTAGTAGCTAGTAGCTAGTAGCTAGTAGCTAGTAGTTAGTACTTCGTAGTTAATAGTAAGTAGTCAGTAGTTAGTAGTAGGTGGTGGTGGTGGTGGTGGTCGTAGTAGTCGTAGTCGTAGTCGTAGTCGTAGTCGTAGTCGTAGTCGTAGTCGTAGTCGTAGTCGTAGTCGTAGTCGTAGTCGTAGTAGTAGTCGTAGTAGTAGTAGTAGTAGGTAGTAGTGGTAGTAGTAGTGGTAGTAGTAGTAGTAGTAGGAGTAGTAGGAGTAGTAGGAGGTAGTAGGAGTAGTAGTAGGAGTAGTAGTAGTAGGAGTAGTAGGAGTAGTAGGAGTAGTAGGAGTAGTAGGAGTAGTAGTATGTATGTATTATTGCTATTGTATTCGCGTAACTACAAGTATTACAGATACTGCATTGTCGCAACTGATTTTGGAGACCGGCCTCCCTCTGAGAATCAAACGGTTTTGCACACGTGCCGCTCCTGCAACTTGCAGATCTCATCAAGCACTTCCAATATGAGCATTCCAAACCCTTCCTTTGGTACAATGACCCACACCCGGGAATGGGGAAAATGCGAATGAAAATAATGAAAAAAAGAGGAAGATAATGAAGAGATGCCAAGTCAAGCTCAAAGAACAGGCGAACTGCTGAAACTTTACGATGATGGCCAGTTCCATGAACTTGGACGCCCAAAAAAAGGATACAGAAATCCCTCGACATTCCATGGAGGAATATGTTCTCTCTGTTTTGATCCCAAGGATCAACTTCCACTCACTTGCTTCGCAAAGTCCCAAACAAATCTAAAAGGAAAAATTCCCATGATATGCTCCATCACATGCTCCCAAACAGCGCAGGACTGCATACCCAATCACATTTTTCCGAAGGAACTATATGGAATTGTCACATTTCTCATCAGCAATGGACCATGGATGATAGTCTAATTATCACCATCGAAGTTCTATCTATTATTTGATTAACTGTCTATTCACAGAGGATACTTATATATATAATATGATTAAGTTGATAATCACCAACCATTTCTCTAGTGGATGATAATCTAATCATGAGATGAAACAAGACTGTCATCCATTAGATTAGTTGAATCAGTATGTCAGTATTTCCGAAAATATATGAAAAATCCCCACAATCATGGGAATATCCAAGTTAGTTTATCCATGGCTTATCCAAGTTGAATCCCCATGGCTTGATCCAAGTTGTCTCATCTACTTGAGATAAACCAAGTTGGATAAGCCATGGGACTCCAGCTGCGGAATCCAGCTTTGCTCCTGTGCTGCCAACTTCCTCTCCACCGCTTCTGCGGCGAAGGCGATGAGCTGCGCAGCCGTAGCGGTCGTACCTCAGCTACGACCGGGGCTGCATCCATATGGCTTGTATACGCCTTATATAGGGTCTATATATGGCATAGATTGGCATAGGGCTTCGAAAATAAATGTGATGCACATCCAAATAATGACAATCTGATGAGTAAAACGACCTGGTCAACCATCATTAGGGGGGAAAAAACAGCAACTAGAGAATGAGGTATAAAAAATATCAAAATATATTGTTTAGACTTAGAAACTCAAGCTACAGAGGTTCATCACCAGCATGGCTTATCTCCCAGCCGCGGGGCACCTTCCACGCGCCGTTTGGCTCGCTTCCATGGACCTTGGGATGCCGCAACTGCTCTCACTTTGCAGACTGCTGTCACTGCTGTCACCAAAATATGCCACATCTTCCATGAGGGCCTTAAGAAATGTCAGCTGCAATAAGCTCAAGCAGCCAGCTTCACAATTCCTACATCATAATAATATGATATCCTTTCAAATTTCTGACAGGTGCCAACAACTGCGGCTTCCGCATGCTGCCCACAGCCACATCTCTGGGTATCCCGCAGCACTGCTTCCGTGCGGCCATGTCCACGATGGCTTCCGCCTGGGAAGAAGGGCCGCAAAGATGCGGCTCAGCTGGAGCTAAGCCGACCATGGGAAGACATGCGTGTGCTTATAATGATATGCATCATTATGTAATAAGAGCGAATTAGAATATCACAATATGTATCTATATTATATATTATCTACATTATATATATATATATTATTATATTATATTGTATATATTATATTATGTGTATACTATTTGTATATTATTTGTATATTAAATTATTAAATTGTATATAACATGATACAATTCTATAGTCTTGTGAAGAAGTATATAATGTTGTATATTCTTGCCGTGTCAAGAGTAAACATGGATTGCAGATTGAAGAATTCGGAGAAACCAGGATATGATGGAATTGGAGGCTGGACAGCAAGCGAACTGAAGGAAATCCGTCTATGCAAACTGGTCATATGAGGCATAGGTGAGCCTGGCACGACTGGAGGGAATGCACTACACACAATCAGGGCCCTGTTTCCGTAGCCTCCAGGGCTGTGTGATCCCGATGTCGTGCCCATCCTCCAGGAAACCAGCTGATATCAAGACACAACGACGCGAAGTCATCGGTCTCGAGGTCAGGTGTATTTCATTGCTTTTTCTGTGTCAAAATGGCGATCAAAAACCTGGTGCCATGGTGAATATCAAAATCCGCCCTCACTGAAGGCACGCGTTTGCTTGGGGGCACCTTTGTTGCTCTAGAATCCTGTGTTTTTCCACGTTTTTAAAGGGACCTAAAATCGGCTAAGTTGCCAAACTTCAGCTCAACATGGCCCAACAGAGGCCCACCAAACATAGGCCCAACATGGGCCCAACTTGGCCCAACATAGGCCCAACTTGGCCCAACATGGCTCACAACATAGGCCCAAGATGGCCCAACATGGGCCCAAGACGGCCCAACATAGAACCAACATATGCCCAACATACCCCCAACATACCCCAAACAACATGAGTCCTACAAAGGCCCAACATCGAACATATACGGTTTTACCGGTGCAGGCAGTTGTCGTCGCGAAGCGACCAGAATATCTCCTATTCATGGATGTGAATCCCAAAAATATCCTTAAAATTAAAATAATGGTGAAATAATATGGTAATGTAAAAAATAGCTTTTGACCCATCCCCAAATTCAATACCAAGCATGACCGACCCCCCAAAACCGCGCGGAAAAACCTCGCGGGGCGCTGTTACGCACGAAGCACGGGGACTGCCTTAGCAGCATGTCCGCTGTCGCCCCGTAGCAACCGTAGCTTCTTAGAGTTTTGTTCAGCCTTTCAATGGGGATATCATACTTGGATAGACTTGGAGGACCATCCATTTAGTAAGTGGTTAGTAAGTGGAGTTATAACCCCCCTTTCTTATAAATGGGATAATCCCACTGAATGAGGACTTACTAACTGACGATCCGTGGGATGATCCTCTAAGTTTGGGATTCTAAAAATCGTTGTGAGGAAAAGCACGATGTCTGTACTGAAAAGGCTTCTGGAGCTACCAGCAGCATCCAGCAGCAAACCAGTCGCAGATTGGACACACATCCTCTAGAATTATTGGTCGCTGGCCATGCTGTGTACTGAGTTTTAGACAACACCGAAATCCATGCAGTTCTGAAAGCGCGCCAGCTTTCTGCCTGGCTTGGCAACGCTTTCCAAGGTGGTGGAAGGTCTGGCCGAACTTTGTCCACAACATACTTCCTAATAACATCCTGACCAGTTTTCCAAGAAAGGGCAGAGGAAAGTCAACTCAGCTGCGACAAGTCTCCAAGACAACATCGCAAGTTGCTCATGGGACTTCAGAAATGTCCAAACAAAGATGCGTAAGCGGCTCCCCTTACCCTGCTTATCTCTGCCACTCACCATTGAGACTGGCGGAAACGCGCCCTCTACGTGAGCTGTCAGAAGGTTTCAGTGGCAAAATTCGCTGGGATGGAGATGGACAACTGGGTTTGTCCAAAAATAAAAGCTGAGATATTCCCAAATTGCCATTTTGATCAGGAAAATGCTGATGAACTACAGGATTTGCGGATGCCCTTTGGACACACCCAACTGGAGCTCGGTGAGCCAAGCACATTGCAAATGGTGGGCGAATGGTGTGGGCCTCTGCCAAATCGTGGCAACAATCCACAGAGCGGTGGCCCCGGTGATGAGTTGGCCACGCTGCCCCCCAACGGTGTGCAGAAGGTCTTCCGTAGGGCGGTGAAGTCCAAAGGTGAAGCCAATGAGCACTTGCTGCAGCGACGAATCCCAGGTTGGGACAATGCCAAGTCTTTTGAAACGTTCCAACCCATCTCAAATTGTCTTTCCAAATCTCCAGACCCCAAGATCTCAATCCAAATAGTCCACAATTTTACAGAGTTTAACATACTACGACCAATTTTAATCCATCTGAGCAATGGTTTCCTCATGTTTCCATGGCAAAAAGATGTAAGAAATTGTAATATCTCAGCCATCGGAAGCCAAGGGCCACCAAGCCCACTAAACTCACCTTGGCCCGCAGCAGCTTGTTCCGATCCAGCAGTGCTTGAGACACGTCTTGGCCTCGAGGGTATCGAGCTACAGGCACTTGCGTACCCTATTTATTCCTATTTAATGCCAGAGAAATTCCCCTCTTTGTTGGAGAAAACAAGCATGTATATATAGTGGTTTGTTTAATGTTCAACCTGATCCAACACTCATGATATCTCATGATTATTTACTGCGAATTAAAAGGAGATGAATCAGCACCCCTGGTGTGTCACAACTGGGGCACTGGGCTGTAACGGCCCCAAACATCACGTTTCAGATACGGCCTTCCACTGACCTATCGCGGGGTCGCCAGGCTCCACTTAACTTACTGACTTCAGGCAATATTTCAAGATCATCTGTAAATAGATTGTAAGTGGAGCACACATGCACAATATGTCGAAATATCATCATAGAACATAATGTGTGATATACATGCATGCATGCATGCATATGTATATATATATATGTTATTGATGTATAAAACGTTTCTCCCAGTTTACCATTAGCAAAAGCAACATCCAGAGCCTCTGCGCGGAAGGCTAAACCCAAAGCCTGCAGGTCAGAGCACTGCAGTTGCCGCCCTGCTCTCCCTTCACTTGCTCCAAAACAAAATGAATGTATGAAATAGACACATACCTTTGTATACATACATACATACATACATACATACATACATACAGACAGACATACATACATACATACATACATATATATATGAATAATAATATGTGAGTCACATAAACTTGAAAAAAAAACATAGGTGAATCATATGTGCAGGGATATTCAAGGATAGGCAAGCTGACAGCTGAGTCCTCTGAGTCCTCGCTTTAGATGCCTCCAAGTCCATGCCTTGCTCCAGGCACGCGCTTCGGAAGGCCTCCACGATCAGATACCCCCAACATGGCAATTTCCATTGGAGTTTCGTGTTCCCAATTTGAGACAAACCCATTTATTTGCCCAACAAACTTAGGTCTGAAGAAAGGGACTTCCCAGGCCAGGAAGTGTGTCCAAGAGGCCATGACTGAGATCCTGCATCCTCTCCCAATTTCACTAGAAATGTGGAAAAAGACAAGGTTTATTGCATTTATATACTGCATGACAAACATTCCAAAAGTGGTGATCTGGTGAGGATTATCCACGGGAAAAGCCATGGGAAAACGCCTCCATGACGATCTGCTCATCCAACTCTGCGCCCTTGGCCACACGCGCCAACACGACCTGCGCGGCATGCACCATGAGGGATCAAGCAAAGTTGGAAAATCTTGGAAATATATGGAAATATGTATATATATATATATATACAATATATATATATATATATATGTATATATATATATATGTGTATATATATATGTATGTATGCATATATGGGAACATGCTGAATCAATTTGACAAAAGGATACAAAAGAATCTTTATCAGACATCCGGCCCCAAAGTACAACGCTGGTGTCATTCCATCTCTGGGGATTTGGTTCAGAGGGATGCAACGTGAGCAGGAAAATCATGCCGAAACTTTGCCACAGCGCCCCAACATCAGCATTCCGGTTCACTGAACCGTTTCCGTTCTGGGCAAGCACGCCAAACTGCTGTGCTGTATCAGAAATCTCTCACCAAAACATGCCTCGCATTTCTGCCCATGCCCTAAGTCATTGACATGTTTTCGGCGTCATCCAGTCCAGCTACAGGCTAAAGCAATACTAAAAAGAACCCATCGAAGGCAATGAGCCTAGAGCCAACCTTCTCGGTTCTTTGGGTTCAAGGCAACCTGATGTTCAGTAGTTTGTAATCAAGCTTCTCTGCGGCATGTGCTACTGAAGTGTCTGCAATTTCATGGCGCCACTGGTTGTGCCAATAATACGCAAAGGTTGAGTGCTTCTTGGCGCTTGGGTCAATTTAATTTCGTTTTTTTTCGGGCCAATAATTCCAAAGGATTTGGAGCGAAAAGGCACGTGTGAATCGATTTTTCTTCATCAGGTCCATGAGCACAAGTGCTGGGCGCACCCTCCACAAAACAGACGGGCAAGCGGCAAGAGGTGAAGACTGCAATTCACAAGGGAGTATTGAATCTCTTCAACCATGTCATTCACCATCCACGGTCCATAGGCGGCCCAATCCAAGCTTTCATGGCCAATCCAACTGTCCGCAAGTCATTGACATGTCGGGCAGATCCAGCGAAGCGAAATCATGGCACTGAGTACTTCTGGACAACTTCACTACTTGAAGCTCACTCATTTGGACCCACAAGGGTCTATGTTCACAGTTTCTTACATTGCACAAGTTGGCCGCTCGAGCCAAACTTCGGGATCAACTCCCAGCCGAGGCCCATGCCGCTGAGGCCGCAGCTTCTCGAGCCAGGGTCAAGACCCTCTGGAAAGCTTTGGCACGCAACCGTTCTCGCACCTGGCCCAACCCCCAAAATCTGACGGGTACAATGCACTGTTCAAAGGTCTTAAACGTTGCAAACGTTCATTTTTATGATCACTTTGTAACCATGATATCATGAGATTATGATCTTGTTTTCAGATTATGATGATATTCAATAATATTCTTCATACTGCAACCTGATCATCATACTATCATAGTTGCATGCAGGCGGGCCCTTTGCGCCCCCCCACCGCCACGGTCAGGATGCGAAGATTGAGGATGAAACCTTGAGCTCTGTAAAGGCCTCAGGTTCTGGATGTTCTGGATGTTCTGGGCTTCGGCGAAGCTTCTCAAGGCGCTAAGAATCGGCTCATCTGGTTATCATATAATATTCAAAGGGCTGATAGTATGTGATCATCATTATTACTAATTACTATTGTCATTTAGAGAAAAAGGTATAAACCGATCTCACAATTCCTGCGAGTTCCATGCTGTTGCGGCAACTGTGTCCCTGACGTCCCAAGCAAATCAGCGCACCGGACTGCCGATCGGCAGAAGCGGATGCCCCGCCAGAGCCACGGGCCGCTTTTGCAATTGGGGCTCCTGAATTTCACGGAAAAAATATCACCACACCACTGAAGGCATGTTCAAAGTCTTGGTTCGATCAGCCCTCGGCATGAAAACTGACGGCAGTCCTTTGCTCTTCAGCTCTTCCCTTGACTCCATGAAGACCAGCAACACAGCCTGCCGGAATGTGAATATCAGGTCATCCAATGTGTGTATGTAATCTAAATGTAATTGCAAATAAAAATATAAATGTATCCGCGACTGTAACGGTAACTGTAACAGCAACTGTCACTGTAAATGTAAAGTTAAATGCAAATGTAAACATAAAGTAAATGGTCATGTCATGTCATGTATGCATGCATTTATTTACGTGTGGATGTATGGATGTATGGATGTACTGTTGCTGCGTTGCAGATGGATCGATAGGTGGATGTATAGATAAGATAGATAAGTTGGATTGGATAGACGTCGCACAAGATCGGATAGGATTAGATAAGAGTAGGTATGGATGAGATTAGATGAGATTAGATTAGTTTAGATGAGATTAGATAACATTGCCTAGATAGATATACATCATTTGTTTATAAATACAAACAGAACCTTAAATGACATTATGTGAAATGTGACATAACTTCCTACAGCATAAACATAACAAACCATTCCATTCCATATCGCATCTTCATTGGTACTTGTCTTAGGTGAAAGTTTTGCCTCATTCTTATCATGTAATGCCACCGAAACCCGGCAGCGGCAGCACAGCAGCACCTGCACACGTGGTTTCAGCATTTGAAGGCTCTGATGCCGCAGCTCGCGCGGAGCCTCGGTCTCTGGCGGTCTCCCACAAATCAACGAGATATGACTCGGTACCAACAAAAATATCGGTTAATGATAGTTGATTTCATACATATGTGTCATATGTGTATATATGGTTATATAAGTTATATAGTTTGAAAATGGGTCGATACAATTTTGATATGAAACATATGGTGTCAATCAAATCATCCCAAAGAATGTCTGGTAAGTTATAAGCAAGAAAGTGTCCTAATGTGATAAACCAAACAACACCTACCCTTTTGGGATGGTTTATACCACCCATAAAACTGGTGATTTTGAGATTTTGGGGATGGTTTATGGCAGAAAAAATGGCACTGGGTGCGCCAACTCGCTGAAGGGCACGACACAGTCTGGCCAGCACCCTGTCAAGGGCCTTCAGCGTGATCACCAAGAAAGGTTGACTAAGTGAATCGAAAGCCTCAGATTACAAAGTGAAGCCATTCCTCAAATTATTGACCTTCTCCACCATCAAATAGAGAGATGTGGGGTCGGACTTCCAGAATTTGTTCGGAGCTACCCCTATCGGCCCTTCCGAAATCGATGGCGCCTGAGACGGCCTGACATCAGAGATTTCAAGGTGCCACCAACACGGACAGACAGGAGTCATCTGCAAAGCCAAGTTCCTCAAGACTCAAAATATGCGTGTATATACATATATATAATATATAATATATACATATAATAGATGATTTTCCTAACATCTGGATTTTCTTCTGATTGAAGCGGAATCACGTTTTGGCCGCCAAAGCTTTAAAAAAACCTGTAAGCTAGTCACTGTACGCCATGTTTCTGCGCTACATCAGGGTGCAGCCGTCATTGGGCTGTGAGTCATATGGATTTGCTACACCCAGCCTTGATGCCATTTCTCGGGCTGCGAAAACTTCCTTCAATCTAACTTCTTCCATGCTCAAGTCACAAACGGCTTCAATTGTGGGCAAATCAAACACACCCGTCGAAACTCTAGTAAACATGAGGTAAACACGCAATGCAATAATACCTCCAGGATCAGGACGCATCCAACTTGTCCTTTCCAGAAAACGAGCAGCCATGCGAAGCACAGAGTTTCCGCTCATACCCCGGGGCATTGCCCAATGAAGGAAATGGACGGGCATTCGTTTTGATGAAATGTCATAGCATTTTTGATAGTTCTTATATTTGGGATCTGAGGCTTGACAAACATGTATGTACTTCATATCCTTGGACCCAGTCATGTCAAACTGGATTCCTGTCAGGTCAAGCACAAAGTCTCCGTTCTCGCAAAACGTGGAAAACTCCAGCCAGACATGGTTTCGTGCACCACAATGCACCTCTCGAGAGTGTTGCCAATAGTTCCTGCCAAAATCCTCTGCCAGCGTGAGTTTTCTATATTTATGAGTGACAAAGCCAACACATAGCTTCATGTCCTGGATTTTTTGTCCTCTAAAGACCAAACGGTGTCTGACCCCACTTTTAACAGCATTGAAGAGCTCCAAATACAAGTAGGACACTTCGGAGCAATGACCCCCCAGCGCCAGTTTGTAAAACAAACGATGTGCCTCATCTGGGCTGTGGCGGGGCGCCCAATTGTGAGGCCCCAATTTCAAATTTCTGTGAGGAGGCCCTGGAACAAGAAGTTCCTCGTCTTCGCTCTGCTCCACAAATTTCAATTCTCGAATCACCGGGTAACCGTCCCTTTCCACAAATCTCAGCACTGTGTCCTGCGCAAGATCCAACACATCAACATCTTTGATCCTGACCGGTTGAGTGCCACCACCCTTTGGAGGAGATCTCCTACGGCCGCGGGCTGCACAGGCCACTGCGCTACAAATGAAAACCTTAGGTTTGGCCAAAACGAATCAAGGACCACGCTGCACTGCACATCTGAACCCCAAAATCATCTAAGTGAACCCTGGAATTCAATATTTCAGCGAAAATAGTGAACGAAAACCGGAATGTTGCTGGATGTCGTCTATGTTTAGCAAAAGCCTGTCCCTAATTTTGTTCACCAATAAAAAAAATACACATTAAAAGTGTTGCTGATCGGCTGCAGGGACATCTCTTGCTTGCCCACAGATGCCTCCAAAATGACAGTTCCCAAACTTTGGTGGTCGCACTCCGTTGAGGGTTGATGCACAAGCCACCAATCGCTGCGATGGAGAACCAAAGCACTGCATGCTTCAAGCTGCAAAAGCTTGGGCCAACAGCTTGATGGGCGACATATTAACTGTGACCCGCTCGACCGAAAGAAGTTTGGTCCCCCCAATGGAATGGAGTCATTGCAGATCTGCGAATCTACAAATACATGTATGTATATCGTCGCATATCATGTATATACATACATATATACATACATGACGTTACGTTACATTGCATCACACCACATTACACTACATTACATTTACATACATACATACATACATACATGTATATATATATATACACACATATACATATATACATATATACATATATACATATATACATATACACATATACACATATACACATATACACATATACACATATATACATATATACATATATACATATGTACATATATACATATATACATATATACATATATACATATACACATATACATATATACATATATACATATATACATATATACAAATATACATATATACATATATACATATATACATATATACATATATACATATATACATATATACATATACACACATACACACATACACACATACACATATACACATATACACATATATACATATATACATATATACATATATACATATATACATATATACATATATAGATATATAGATATATAGATATATACATATATACACATATACACATATATACATATATACACATATATACATATACACATATATCTACATATATCTACATCTATCTACATATATCTACATATATCTACATATATCTACATATATCTACATATATATATATACAATTCCTCAACTTTCACTCACCTGTCTGCAGCAAATTCAACTGTTGCAGCATGCCCATCGAAGTGCTGAATGTTTTGAGACCCAGTCAGCAAAGTGTGATGCCAAAGGATGATCCATTCGGAAAAAATCATCCGAGGTCAGCCACTGATATTCTCTGGCTGCTGCATTCAGACATGTATGAAAACAAAACAGCCACCCCTTTGCAGGCTTCGGGTTGGCATTGGGAAAACGAAAGGATCCTTGAGGATATTAAATTTTGCGGGCATGATTCATGCCGTTCAATGGGAATTACACAACGTTTCACTGTAACAATTCCTCAACTTTCACTCACCTGTCTGCAGCAAATTCAACTGTTGCAGCATGCCCATCGAAGTGCTGAATGTTTTGAGACCCAGTCAGCAAAGTGTGATGCCAAAGGATGATCCATTCGGAAAAAATCATCCGAGGTCAGCCACTGATATTCTCTGGCTGCTGCATTCAGACATGTATGAAAACAAAACAGCCACCCCTTTGCAAATTCCACATTGTGTTCTGGGAGAAACGACCGGTCGCAGCTAACGCAAGGCTCTGCGGAAGTGAGATTGCACATGCTGAGACGTCGCGAGGACATCATGGCGTCGGGACTCATGAACCACCTCCCAGCGTTTGACCAAAAGGCTGGCTTTTTCGTAGCGGCGCACTGAAGCTTTTGCCTCCCAACGCCCGCGCTTCTGCACTGCCTGAATGTCTCTCCGTTTGTGGAAAATATCGTTGGATGGCCCAGTGTGTCGCATGACATGGGGTGTGACGGCGCCCTCTTGGTACTTCAAATGTCGAGATGCTCTGTGGCAGGCTGTCTCATAGCTGGCCAAAGTCAGTGAAGGAAAAAGAAAATGTTCCACGCCCTTCATGAACAAAGCAAACACATCGGCAACCCAAGCGGTACCCTTCACATCACCTATCAACACACTGTCGTCTGATTTTCCAGTTTTGGTCTGCTGCCCCAGAGTGGAAGGAGCGATCAGCAAGCCCCACTTCCGGTATCTGCCAGGAGCAGGAAAGCAAACGTGCTCTTTTGTCAAACCAAGGCATTCAGAGGGACGAAGATAGCAATGCATCTGAAGGACTAGTGCCATCGCCATCTCGATCTCTGCCAAAGAAAGAAAATAGATGGCCATGTCAAAAACCACCTCTTCTGGCACCGGGAGTCGCATGGAGCCAGGCTGCTGGTGTTTCCACCCGCTCAGGGCTAACTTGGCATTGGGGAGGAAAAACTGCCGAGGAACATCACAGTGAAGAAGTTGAAGGCCGTAAACAAAATAAGTCGCTTGGTGAACTTCACGTTTTTCAGTCTCTTGCAAAAAAGTGATATACCTAGTTGCGTAAGAGTCTAACTTCTTGGAGCTCCAAGACATTTTGCATTCCTTCAACCAGTGTCTAAACAACTCTATCTCAGCAAGATACCGATTCAAAGTTTTCTGGGTCACCCGTTGAGCTCTCAGACGGAGCTGAACCGGCAAAGGCTTGTTCGCCAGGTCAACCCTAACAGCCATCTTTTTGACCTTGGTTGGCCCTGCGGATCTCTTCAGCTTCTGACTTGGTATGTTGGCCGAAGACGACCGGGTGTCTTTTGAGATGCTGCTTCCCCTCCTCAGTGAACTCTGAGTTCTCGGTGTGGAAATGGCGCGCACCAGCTCCGTTTTTGCCAGTCTTGACACGATGTCGGGTGGCAACGGCCGCTTCTTGAAGGCTCCACTCGACATGTCGTGACTGGTCTCGAATCACGGCATGGGGAAGTTGAAAAAGATGACCTATTGAATCTTGAACCAGAGAGGCCCACTGCTGACAGAGTTGAGGGGGATAAGCCCCTGCGCTTTTTGTGCGGTTGCGACTCTTCCAAACACCCTCATCCCATACCCTTTCCGAGCCTCGCAGGTGTTGGTGGCGGTGACCACCCCCGCAGCTCTTCGCCAGGCCTGAAAGGCCGGGAATGTTGCCCAGGAGTCCAGTTGGCTTCTTGCAAGAAGCCCCATACTGACACATGTGCCAAGAGATGAAAAAGACATCCTTGGATCTGAACAGGTCTCGAATTGGCTGAAACTCCCAGAGCGTGCTGGTCAACGGGTTCTCGAGGGTGAAGTACCCACCACATCTAATGAGGATCCTAATCGCTCTTGCTGTAAAAATTGCCAAAGATACTGCATCAGCTTCCTTCTGCCTAGCTTTCATGACATTCTTGATGTTATGCCGAGCTCTAGAAAAAGTAGTACATGGTGTGCCGAAATGAGCATAAAGCACTTTTCCCTCCAAAAGCAGCTGCAAAAGGAACTTCTGCGTTTTTCTCCTCAGCAAATTGAAGTGGTGTCCTTTGGCCACTTCGATGTCTGGCAGCGTGGCGAGGCCCTTCTCCTCAAAAGCTCTAGTGAGTCTGGCAGTGCCCGAGAAAAATTCAAGGATAAAGCCACGTCGTGAGGGCTCAGATCTCTCTGCTGAAACTGTAGAAGAGAAAGACGGACATCTCCCTGCCTCAAAATCGGGCACCAGCACATGGCCATCCAGAGGCGGCCGGCTCCTCTCCTCATGCTTCAGCTTCGATTTGGTCTGAAACCATCTCGACGGACCGTCAGCAATGTTTCGGTCGGTCGGTATGTGACGAACCTGCCAGCGCACCCGACAAGCCATCTGGTAGGCAGCAGCTCGACGAAGGATGCCGTTGAGAGCTCCTGACGAGCTTCTGCCCTTATCCACTGCCAGGCAGCTGACAAGGTTGTCACTGAGTGACAAGGCGACCGTTCCGCAGTTGCTTGAGCTCCTACAAAGGCGGCGCAAGCCCATCACGCAAACCCTCAGCTCTTTGCGTTTATATGCTCTGAGGGATGATCCCAAGGTCTGGCGACCAAGAGGCGCCATCTGTCAGCCGTGTCCCATGTGGACGCGACCGGCGGAACCCCCGGACCATGTATCAAGGAAATGCGTGGTCTATGAGCTGCTTCAAAACGGGCATGCCTTTCTCGCAACCATTGTTCCCATTGAGGATCCTTAACTTGCTCACCCAACCACCTGCCAAATTGAGTGCTTCGGCCAAGTCCTGCATTGCGGCGGGATCCCATGTAGTGGAACTCCTGCAAGGGGTCAGTGACGAAGGCCGAACTTTGACATTCACCCTGGGGTGGAGGAAGCGGACAGCTACGCACAGGTTCAGAACTGGTGATAAAACGCCATCTTTCTTTGAAGCGGAGTTCCGCCCTGATCTCTTCATGGCTGGCTTGAGTGGTCATCAAAGAGTATCCCAAGTCAGCTGAGTCACCGACATGCACCTCAGGTGATGTGGGCGCGCTGAGGTCCATTTCGACCAAAAAGAAAAGACCCAAGCAATGTCTCAGCTCCTTCTTGACAGACGGCCAAACAACAGCTCTGTGACCTTTGTGCTCCTCCGCAAACCTGTAACATGCCGACAAGCTAGACATACAACACCTAGTCAAAGCAAAATGATGTGTGACATGGCCCAACCAAACCTGTAGAACTTTGCCATGGACGCGGCGTCTCTTCAAAAGACAACGGGTCGCCAGCCAGAGTCTCCACGTCCGACGAGGTTTGGGCATGGCAGCTACCCTTCCAGCAAAGTCAAACTTCATGCCTAGGCTTTCAACTTCGACCTTGTCATGCACATCGTCAATGTCATAGGGAATCCCCAACTGTGAGAACCTGTTCGCTATCCCTAACATCCGACTTGAAGCCTCACCCGCCCCGCCCGCCAGAACTTGGATGTTGTCGACATAGATGCCAACAGCTGGACGCCCTGGCTGGACAAGAGGAGGAGGGGCTTTGTCTCGGATGATATCATCTTGATCCCATTGTCGAGGGAAAGAGGACTGATGCACCACCGACTCATTGGCCAAAAACAGGCTCCAACTCCACCCCATTGCCATTCCAGAAAAACACGCCACCACTGACTCTGAATCTTCCAAGGGCGAATCCCGCTGGGAGTCGTCATCAAAAATTGTGCCTGGGTTCATTCCCAAGGCAGAGAGCTCTGCCCCGGTGAACCAATCACCCAAAGAAAACCAGCTGGCCAACTGTGGTACGAGAAAGTTGTAGAAACAATCGCCCACGTCTCCCGTTTCGGCATGAGGTGAAATCGGAATGCGCGAATCATCATCATCATCGCCATTGCCCGCTATCCCACCAAAACCATTGGCCTCCAAGGTCTCTGGAGAAAAGTCTAGAGAGACCATTCCGGCCGGGGTCGCCAGCCGCGTAGTTGGAGGCCTATGATGGAAAGCATTGGCCTGACGCGCATCTATAATGAGCCGCTGATGGTAGTTGTCCTTTTTGCGAACAGTGAAGAATGCCGCTCGGGCCTTCTCCCTCCTTCGGAAGGAAAGCAAAGAACACCTGAAAAGAGCTTGATACAACTCCACCCTCTTCTTTCGACTACGACGAAGCAGTGGATCCCAGTATGGAGTCGGCAAAGACTCTTGAAAACCATCAGCTTCAAGCTCAAAGGCGGGTCTTTCAATCAGCTCTCTATAGTTCAACAGGTAAGCCTTTGCTTCGGGGGAGGCCAAGTCCACAGTCAAGGAAGGTCTAGCTTGCCTCTGCAACACCTTAATCCTAGAGATATCGAAGCCGACCAGATGGTTGGCCTCCTGCTCATACAGGTGCTCTGAGGAGACAATCTCATCCAAAGCCGCTTGCTCCGTAAGGTCCGGAGCATGTCCATGCTGGGAGATTCTCCTGAGGACATCCTTTACAATCCACTCCTGCACTTTTGTCAAAGAAGCAGTCGATGTCCTCACGGTCTCATCAAAAGGCACTGCAGCGAGTTCGTTCAAACATTTGAACGCTTCATCAGCTCGCCGATGCAGTGAAGTCTCTGCAGATTCAGCACGGAGGCCCTCTCTCAACCTTGGGAGGGGAAAAGGATCGCCATGCTTTCTATGAATTGAGGTTCTCGTCAAAGAGAAGTCATGCAAAGACGCCGGCATTGAGGGAGCCCCCGGAGGTGGAATGCCCATCCCCGCCAGCTGAGGACCCCTGGAACAGCTCACTTCGAGCCAGAGCCGGACGGATTGTCTGGTGTACCGTCCGGCTTTTTGGTCTTCTTCTTTTTCTTGCCCTTTCGTCCTCCCTTTCCTGCATCTTCATCGTCATCATCATCATCATCCTCAGCGGCCACATTGCGACCTCGTTGATGGCGGCGCTCTTGCTGAAAAAGCCTCTCTTGCTTCCACAAGGTTGCCCGTTCCCTCATGCGCGTGCTGACCCACTCTGTGAATCGGGCGGTCGATGCACGGCCGTCTTGGAGGGTTGAGGTTCCAGCAAGAATGTCAAGGCCGTCAAAATTTGGCGCTGAAGGGCTCCTCTCCACAGCCAGTTCAATCTGGATCAACCACCTGGAAAGATGTTCTCCGATGGCCACAGAACTGGCGTCGATCTGGTCATAGTGGTGAAGAAGACGGAGTCCTTCACACAGTGCGGCATGAGCATGAGCTGCACTAGATCTCCGGGAAACGCCGGACAGCCTCAACCACTCTGAGTGGTAGGATACAAAGTTGCCAGGGCCACCTAGGACTGCTTCGTGGAGCTCTTTGCAGGCTCGGACCCCCGCAATGGGGAAATCATCATCTTTCACCTCCTTCATCAGGGACACTGCTGTGGCCAACTCAAGCCTGCGTTTTCCAGAGGCATCCTTATGGTCTCCTAACAACCTCACATCAGCTGAGCCCAGTCGCTTCTCTCTCTTCCAAGTCTCTATTTGGTCACTGGCCACCCGCTCAATGAAGATCTCCTCTCCATCCTTCAGCACCACGCCTTTTTGAGAAAAAGCAAGGCCTGTAGCTTCATTCTCGAGCATGGCCTCATCCACAACCTCACCAAATTGAGAATGGTTTGGATCGCAGATCACCCACTGGGTGGATTCCGTGTCAGGTAAAACCCCTTCCCCTAAGATCACAGCCATGGTCTGAGCCTGTCTCTTGAATCCATTCAAGGCTGCGCGACCAATGGGGTCATGCGCATAAACCTCGTCTACTATGTCTGCTGGAAAAGGTGACCTTCGATTCAGAACCCGATGGACAAGGGTGCTCAGGTCGTGCTGCTGGACCTCGTGGTCTGGAGTGAGAGTCATCCATGATGCGCCACTCACACGGCACAACAAAATGCGATGGTGCCAGTAAAACCCATCAGGATCAGCTGGAAAGTTGATGAGAACTTGGACTTCTGGGACATCTAGACTCAGGTCTGCGTTCATTGCTTTGTCTTTCTATCCGAGGGCCTGGTTGGCCTCCCTTTGCTCTTTGGACTGGACCCTGAACTATGGGACCCTTTAGATTCAATCCTTCGGGGGCTATTGATAGGACTATCACTATCTGATACCCCTTTAGTATCCCCAGTTATTTCCAGATGAGTTTCAGGGGGAACCACAACAACCCTACGACGCCTAGTAAAGTGGGTGTACACCAAATAAATCAGAAACCCCAAATCCACTAGACTTAAGACCCTCAGAGTCCAGTTCAAAGCCCAGATCCGCCAGGCACAATGTTCCTGGAAACCTCTGGACTCTTCCAGTGCCTCCCTGGTCAGCCGTAGTTCGTTTCGAAGGATCAATGCCTCTTGCTCGGCCAAAGCCGAAGGTGTGGTGAGATCTCGAACGATAGAGGCCAAAGTGCAAAGACACACCAGGACAGAAAAACGCATGGGAGTTGGTGACAACAAAACGAAAGGATCCTTGAGGATATTAAATTTTGCGGGCATGATTCATGCCGTTCAATGGGAATTACACAACGTTTCACTGTAATATACATATATATATACATATATATATATACATATATATATATATTATATATATGTACATATGTATGTATACATATATACATATATAATCATATATAATTATATACTTATACATATATATATATATATTTTTTTTAAGGTATACACATATCTATATATATATGTACATACATAGAACTTCATTTTCCCAGGATTCCCATAAAATGGTTGGTTCAATCCATCAAGTTCCCAAAATTTGACGCTCCTCCGAATGCGGAACCTGAGCCCCAAGTAGCTGCGCCTGCGATGTGCCGATGGCTTTGCCGCCATGGCATCCTGCGGCTGGACATTTCTGGGTTTCAAGACCATCGCCCAACCCGACCAAAGAAAGTTCTGCAGTCACCAGAGGATGAAGGAAAACTCTGGTCATACGAAGTGACTTTGACTTTAGTTTTCTGGGATTTGGGGTTTAGGTTTTGAATTTAGTTTGCTGTTTCTAAAAAGAAAAACACTGGCCCTACGGAAGTATTTGAGCATGTTGAAGGATGAAGGGATAGGCAGGATCCGTCGCTGGCAAACATCTGTTCCGCAGCGAAACGCTAGTCACCTCCCTGATGATAGATTTAGTATGAAGATTTAATATGATTTATATATATATAATGCTGAGGAAAGAATGAAAATTCTGAATGCTGAGAAATGCCATAAACATTTGTTCACTGCTCTTGTTTGCTGACTCTGCAACGAGGCTTGCCGGCCTTGGCACTTGTTGGAGCCACTTTAAACCTCCAGAACGAAGTCAGGCATGCGACAGGGATGATGTCATTGCTTAATCCATCACTTTGCATTCCTTTCATAATCATGGTTTTCATCTTTGTTGCCTGTAGCCTAGCGGGTTTTTGTGTTTTGAATCAGGAGCACTAGCCCCTACTGCATTGGAAAAGGAACTGCTTGATAGCTGTGCGATAGGACTTCCTGAGAAAAGGAGATCGAGGGGAAACAGTTGGACCAACACGGACTAGCACAATCTCAAGCAGCCTCTTGATCCCAAACCAAGTGTCCACTCAGACTAAGCATGGCACTCCGCCATCGGTGCAGCCAGTCAGAGAGCCCTCAGGCGATCTGGAGTTGTTCACTTAGGCTTCAGCGATCCCTTTTTAAGACAAACGGAACAAGACTTTCCTGCCTTGCAACTCTTAGCTGAATCCCAGGTCTAGACAGGATCTTACTTTTCTGAATAAAGAGAAATCTGCACTACACGATACGCTTTGAAGGCATCACTTAGAGCATGGCACTGACCGCGACGCAGTTTTGCTGAGACCCGATCCTCTGGGGCTTCGATCCTAGCGATAAATGGCTGGAGATTGAGGATCACCGTTGGTTGCTGTTGAGAGTACCCAATCTTTCTGGGCGTACAATGTGAAAAATATGCCTTCGTGTCTTCAGGTCTGCCACTGACCTCATCTATCTTTGAATTGCAGGAGGATTGTTGATTGATACTCTGGTGTAGCGAAAGGGATTCAATAGAAAGTTGCGGGTTGGAAAATGGATGGAAGCATCTGAGTTTCGAGTCTGTTTCAACGGGATTCCAGACTCTCATAGCATGTGCTCCCATGGATGATGCCATGCACATCCTGTGACTGCTGATGTTCGATGCTCGCATAATTATCCAAGAAGTAGGGGAAGAAGAAGACCTCAGCCCATGCAGCCCAGCGCCCAGGCAGCCCATGCAGCGCATGACAAGTTGGACCTATGCCACCTGTCTGCGATCTACCGATCTACCACATCTACCACCAATCATGGGCCGCAGACCCCTTTCTCTTACCATCCGAGCACCATCACTCAGGCCCAGGCTCTCAAGAAGGACAAGAAGAAGAAGTAGCCTCAACTGCTTCAACTCACGGAAACAAGTTTCTAACAGGTTTTTAACAAGTTCCAACAGTAGAAAAATTCCCATGTGTTTCAACCATGAACGAAGTCACCCAGCGCAATCCTTATTTTTTGCTGTACCTTCTATGGGTCGAAACTCTAGTTCCTCTAAGCGATGCCCAGGACACTTCTACTGAGATTTTACTGTTTGGCTGAGGGCGTTCCATGAAAAGTGGATGAAAATCATCCCAGCCCACGCTTGCACCGGATACTGAAGTCACTAAACCACACTTGCACAGGATTATACAGTGCACCTCCACTATGACGAATATAACCCATATGGTTTTGTCTAGAAATAGGATACACCGGTGTTTTTCCAAGGGTTCATCACCATTTTCCAATAATTGCCCCCTGTTCATCAACCACCAGTCCCTTCATCGGGACACCAGTCCGGGCACAAAATTTCGGGATCTCAGCTTCCAGCGAGCGGATGCGGACCACAGCGAAGGCCAAGGACACAGACCTTGGTCGTCGCCACGCTGGTCACTGGAGATTCAATGGGATGTGGGGATTCACCCCAATGATTTCCGGAGTCCGAAACCCCGCTGCTTTTAATCTTGGTGTACCAATGTTTCTAGTAATTCATCGACTTTTTGAGGTACTCCCCCCAAATAATGGTCAGGTTTATTAATCCAGGGCTGACCTTGGACTCTTTAGACATCTATATAGTATATTTTTTGGGCGTATAGAAATTTGCAACATCCCCATGTGGTGAACCTAACATTAAACGCACTTTTGGGGAATTTGTCTAATGACCCAAATGATAATGGGTCGTTGTTTACTAATGGTTGAGGTTGTTCGACACCAATCTGGGTGTGAGGCAGAGCCAATCCAGAGCTTGTCATTGGGGCGCTAGTCTTGTAATCCTGACAAAGTGGAAGTTGTTTTCATCCTTCACCCGTTGTTTCTACTGTTTCTGACCAAACTGACCAAACGTGCAAACATCACCGCAAAAACTGTCACAAACCTAATCAAAACAAGAAAACTGTCACCAACATTCGCCGTCCCCCTGCGCACCATGGTGTCAATGTTTGGAGCGACAAGTCGCAAATGCGAAGGCGGGGCGATGGCCTCAACAGAAACCGCTGTTTGCCCTCCAGTCAGTCAAGAAATCATTTGCAAAGTGGTAAAAATGGGTTTGGTGCCAGGATGTCAACCTTTTGAGTTTGTTTCGTTCATTGAAAATACCTGTTGAGTCTAAACATATTTCCAACCACCTGTGCCAAATTTATCAAGCAAACAATAAAAAACAATAATCCACTGGAAACACAATGCACTATGTCGCGGCCAGACTCAGTCCACGTCTCTTGGCAACCCAACTTTGCACGAAAACAAACGTCCAGACATCAAGCAAATGGCGGCAGGACGGTCAGCAACACATTGATTGTTACATTGCCACGTTCAGCTTTCAACCCCAACACACAAACATTCGTGCAGGGAAAAAAATGAACACGAATAAAATGATGGTTCATTGCACCCGTTGCAAGACAAAGAATACCAATGGACTAACACGTGTTCAACAAACAAACAAACAAACAAACAAACAAACAAAGAAACAAACAAACAAACAAACAAACAAACACACAAACAAACAAACAAACAAACAAACAAAACAAACAAAACAAACAAAACAAACAAAACAAACAAAACAAACAAAACAAACAAAACAAACAAAACAAACAAAACAAACAAAACAAACAAAACAAACAAAACAAACAAACAAACAAACAATACAAACAAAACAAACAAAACAAACAAAACAAACACAAACAAAACAAACAAAACAAACAAAACAAACAAACACAAAACAAACAAAACAAACAAAACAAACAAAACAAACAAAACAAACAAAACAAACAAAACAAACAAAACAAACAAAACAAACAAAACAAACAAAACAAACAAAACAAACAAAACAAACAAAACAAACAAAACAAACAAACAAACAACCATACAAACAAACAAACAAACAACCAAGCAAGCAAGCAAGCAACCAACCAAACAAACAAACAAACAAACACAGAATCCAATTTAATGGATGTGTGATTTGTGTGAATTTTCAAATTGGTTGTTTCAAATTGTGGGACTAACAAGGGACAGCGACCGCAACAACGGTGGCGACACCCAAAAAAAAATATGCCATAGAATTCCCAAGGTACCACCCATGGCGCCCATGGTTCCCGAACCACACTCAAACATGATGTTCACGGCTCATCGGTAGCACATGCAATCAAATGTTTGGCTGGATCGGGTCGCGGGCGAGCAAGTTTTTCAATTTGTTTTTGCAGCCCCGCACGCATTCGATGTCCACAGGAAATTTAGTTTGCAAACTTCCGAGTTTTGGGCAAATGTTCATGGCCTGTCCTGCCATTATGTCAACCACAAAGGTGGCAACAGCAGTTCGCAGGTGGCAGCAATAGAGGAGAGTAATGGTGGCTCCTGGGGTCGCAAAAGTAGGGTCTGTGCTCGGCAATTCCGTTCCTCGATGTGGTAAAGCTGTTGGCAAAAACTGCACCAGCCTGTTGCGAGATTTCGATTTCGATTCAAAAT